AATTTCTCAATTTTCTAATTTGAAATACAACACAATTTTACTTTTCATTTAATCAAAATATTTTCATGACCAGTAAAATGTTCTAATTTTAAGCTGAAAAGGGAGATAATCCATATTTACAAAAACAGTATCATATCCCATTTTTGAGGGTTTTTTTTAAGCCTATAAATTTTTTTTAAAGTCCAACAGCCAATGCAAATCAAAAGGTCACGCTTGTTTCGCACACACCATACCCTATGGGTATGATACATAGGGTATTATATAAAAATTGAAATTGCATTTATTTATTTATTTTTTTTGGGGGGGGGGGGGGTGTTAATATATTGATCCAACAACCATCGAGGGACAATATTTACTTCCTTCTTTAGGATCGGTGAATGCATACATCTAGGCAAGCCAAACCATTGTAATGACCTCAAAAACAGAAATAATTGTATAATATACAACTTGACTTTTATTTTAATGATAATATGAAAATCATTTTATGTTTCCCTCTTGGTTACACCTTTCAATATACACCACAAGAATTTTGATCGAATTTTAACTGCATGCAATTACATGTATTAATTAAATGAATGATGTTTTTTACACATCATTACCAAGTCATCTGCTTCTTTTCCATTCAATTTTACCAGTTTATCCCACATCAAAATTATTAATTACTGGTACATGTATCAAAATCATTAATTGATAGATGTAAACAAAATTTTAATAGTTTACATCTTTGTAAGATGCTATAATGCTGAACAAAATATCACTAATCTCCGATGCTTCTCTTTTGTAGTAACTGACTGTCCTTTGTTTATTTATGAGTCTCTTCTAGTGAAATATAAAACTGTAAGCTAAAGGTGCTGAAGATCCATGGGAGATGAAAGTCCATGCCTGATTATCTTTATCCAAGTACCAGCATTGAATCCATTCTTTGAACTCTAATCTTTGTTATTCCTAAAATAATAGTTACATATAATTATCATTTACCACATTAAAACTCATTGTTCTACATTGATTTAAAGGTATTAAAGGGTTTTTTTAAATTTATAAATTACTTTACATGGAATCTCAAGTTTATGTAATGCAGTAATTTCATGTAAAATCTCAAATGGTTGCATGTGCATGGCATGTGGTCCCCCACCTTTGGAGTCTTATTAGTTGGTGGTGTGCAATGATGTTTTTCTTGCTGTCTCAAAAATACTGTCAGCTTTTCCTTCATAACCATGATGCAAACCATCTTGCGCATTCTGTGAAAATGATATAGGGTTTCATTTCAAAAGTATATAATTCAAATTACTAACTTATGAAATATGTAAAATATCTTTACCATATTTTCTATCATTTATGTCTCAGGTTTTAACCATATTACAATTTAAACTGTAACCAGTTATGAATTCTGTAATCTTGCTACTGATTAAATCAAAACTACAAAATGAAATACCCGGTACTCTCACAGTACCTGTTATAAAACACTCTTGGGTCTTCCCTTTTCATTCTATCTCTTCAGTCAAACAAGTTCTTGATCATTCTGAAAACCAACAAGGAATATTTTTCATCTAGATTTATATGCAATGACATACAGAGAGAGAGAGAGAGAGAGAGAGAGAGTAGGTATAAAGACAACTAAATATACCTATTTAACAACCCTAAATTAAATTTACCTGGTGATTCCAAAGCACAGTACACTGTTTTCCAAATACACTAGCCTGATTAAAAATGTTGGGCCAGTAAAATGTAAGTCAGCAATAGCTTGACAAGACTAATAGAATTTTCAGTGATATATCTTTTACAAATTATACCATCAGTAATGTTAAAAAATGTGCATAAACAGCCTTGTCTGAAAAATTATATATTTATTAAATAAATCAAGCTTTTTGGTGGTTTTTATATCTTGGTTGATTTTTTTTTCTGTCCATACTTGATTTTGTTATTTAGTTATCATTTCTGACTAGTGCCATGTTGACATGGGTAGAGCAAACAAGAGGCCCATTGGCTACAATGCTCACCTGAGTCAGTATCTTCATCAGCAGATTTTTCTAATATATATTCGTATGTAAAACTTTGATCCCCATTGTTGTCCTACCCTATCCCAGGGGTTCATGATTTCAACAGATTTGAATCTACACTACTTGAGGATTCTTCAATATATACATGTATCTGTACGACTAATCATGGCTTTGCTGTTCTTAAAAAGAAGAATTATCACTATCTAGTGTGAAACTTTGATCCCCCATTGTGGCCCTATACTACTAGTATGTCTAGTTCTTGAGAAGAAGATTTCTAAAGATTGTTACCTAGTATCTACATTTTTTTTAAAGTAAAATTTTGACCACCCATTAAAGCCCCATGCTACCGCTACTTTTCACAAAAGTTTCAACCCTTTTGGCCCAGTTTTTCATGAGAAAAAGATTGATAAAGTTTTTTACATATATATTTCACCCATGAACCCATTGGCTTAACTATTTTGAAGGGGACCCCAAAAAAGCAGGGAAAGCAAACAGGTTTTCAGAAATTTATTAAACATAGGATGCTTTCCATAACTGCGAATTTTCCTTTTTGTTTGGATCGAAATAACGTGTAGATTCTGTGTGGAATAATTTTTTAAAAATTGAGAAATTTTGATATTTTACATTGCTAGGGATATATTTCTCCAAATTTTATGATAAGAAAAAACTCAGCATTTACTTTTTGTACTTGCTTTTGATAAATTGAATCAGATTTATTTTTAGACTGTGCTGTATTTTAGATACAGAATAGTTGGCAAATACAAGACAGTATATAGGGTTAATACAGATTACAGAATGGAAATCAGCTCTGCCCACTGTAGTCCTGTTCTGTATTGCTCATTAATACAGAACGGCAAACTTCAAAGAAAAACACTGAGCTATCATACGTGTCATAACTAACTCTGGTCAATGCATTTACTCTGAACAATTCGGAGATTTCTGACTGTCAACATGGCATGTAAATTTGAATCGTGTAAAAAAACGTTGACAAAAAGTGTTGAACTCTTACATTATATGGATTAATTTTTGGGGGTGAAAGGTATCCCTGTGACAAAAAAAGGTTAACTTCGTTATTATTAACTTGACGCTTATTTTTCATTGCAATTTCATTTATTTTCTCCAAAATCATTTCAGAGTGTTTCCACCATTTTCTGCTACATTGCGGGAATATGGAAGGCATTCTAACTGTGGTCAGGGCCTGTCCCAAGACACAGTAACATTATTCAAACATATATATGTGTAAGATGTCATTTTTTTCAAAATGGACATGATATTGATATATGTAGGAAATGGCCATCCCCAACAATTTTCCAAATACATACTTTACTGTATAAAATATCAATAACCATCTATAAGAAGTAAATTTAAATTAAATCCTACCTATCAAGCTGTTCAAACAGGTGTCCAAATGTACCGGTGGCGCCGGTACATTATCTTCCCTCTCCAAGTTGAGTATGCTGACACAGCCGGACTGCAACTCCTCTCTGAGGGCTTACTCTTGGATTCTGGTGGATTAACTTAGAAGCTAAACTTCCGACATAGACCATACTGATGTCAGTAATAAGGAAAATTGCTGATACCCTTATCAACACGATGACAGTAATATTCCCAAGCTACACTTTCTCGTTTCACGGATTTTTTTTCCTCTTAATTTACACGAGCTCTATGTCCAATCTGTTCTTGTAAATTCCTTTCAATCATTTTTACTCAATTCACACGGATATTTGCGCTGAACACCACATGATGCATCAAAATAACTTTGCAGAGTACAGCTTTTCATGGAGGCCGCCATTTTTTTTACTACCGCCACCTATATAAATTTCCTAAGGGAGATAACTCATACGAAGAATCTTCACAAATTCCAGATTTTTAACACCCTGTATCTTTTCAATCCTTTGTTTGCACAAAAATATTAGAGTAAATTTAATTTACACTTTCTATTTTCACTGTAATTATGTGTTTAGATTTTATACATCTTCTTGGGTTTAGAAGAAATTATTTTCTGAAATATGCACTATTTACACACTATCCATACAAAATTACCCCTGGAGTACCCTATCCCTAGCTTTATGAAAAAAGAAGAATTATAACAAATCCATTCGTTATTATTCGTTTTAGACCCAAATGAATATATTAAACTCAGTTTTAATGAATTTGCAGATTATCGATGTAGCGCCTTTTCTGTGCTACCTGCATGATTTTTATGCGGAGCCCTACTTAAGTCACAACTGATCAAAGACTATGAAACTCACCTCAACTAATGTTATCTGTAAGTGAATTAAGGCAAATTAATTTAAAAACTCACACCAAATGATTTTTTTTTTTTGGTACCATGCATTAATTAGGGGACCACCATTTGATTAGGGAGGAAGGGGGGAGACAAGGACAGATAGTTTATTTTCTTAACATTTTTTTTTTTTACAGATTGTTCATTTTTATTAAAGGCTTAAGGGAGGGAATACCCCTCAAATTTTCTCCCCTGCATCCCTTTTTCCAGAAACCTGATGTCAACATTTTCATGGACAGATTATTCTTATCCAAAATCCCCCCCTCCCCAAAAAAAAAAACAAAAACAAATGGTTCTCCCTTATAAATATATATGCAACATCTATTCAAGACTGGTACAAAAACTGTAACTATATATTTCAATTATCTGGAAGATGAAGGTAGATCATCCAGGAAGGTCAGGTGCTGACTGCATCAGAAGCATAGTAGTGTTCATCCCTAGATGCTTCATTCATACAAGTTTGTTCCAAGAACAGCTTTTATTTAATTTACAAGGAACCTGCTCCAAAACCTTTTGATCACTTGTCTAGAAATACTACATCCCAGGTTACCTGGGAATGGACTTGCTCTGAAAACTCCCATCTTCCAAATACCGGTATTCAAGAATGTCTGGAAGTATGCATTGCTAGATGCACCATCTATGCAAGTACTCTAATAGTTTCTTGGGAATAAACCAACTCCAAAACCTTTTTTAAAAAAAAAAATTTTATTGCACTTTCAATTTGGAAATGAAATTTACAAACATATAATATGTGTATTCACATAGATCAGTCATCTGCACTGCATACAGTTTCAATTAAATCATAGGGATTAGATATTTTTTTTCCATAAATACCTTGGTAGTGTTCAGATTGTTCTCTTTGTAAGAAATTTCCCACAGGTGATTTCAGTTTCTAATAGTCTGTGTCGCACGGACTGTAAAATCAACAGGGGGTTTCCCCTTCCTTAATTGCATTAATGTACAGGTAAATATAATTTAAAAAAAAAATAGTTAGAATATGAAACATCATTGAAGAGATACCATTAGAACACCAGAATTTTGTCATCTGGGACTCACTCTTAGTTCAACTAGCTACAAAGCTTTAATGCTACAAATGTTCATGTATATACATGTCAGGGTTGTCCCTATGAATTAAAATAGCAGGGGACATTCAAAAAGTAGAAGGGGGCCTGAGGTTCCTCCAATAACAGGGTGATGAGGGAAAATACCAGAGTAATCGGGGATTACGACATTATAGGCGGGGAAGTTCCCTGGCCCCTGGGTCTTTGGGACAACCCTGCATGTACATGTATGTGTATCACAGAGACTTTACTTATGATATAAAACTATACATAGAGACACATATTAGCATGAGATTATACAGACTAGTTCTCTTAAGCAGCACATGTATAGCACAGTCCTGAAACAAGTCATTCAATCATTGACAAGAGCAAATATTATCACACATCTGAAACTAGTTTCAAGACACTTTCATTTTATAACATACCACTTGGCAAGTTTATAACTGTATAAACTATCCTCGACAAAAATAAGTCTAGTCATGGATCATTGCACATTCACATTTTATGTCCTACTTGTTTTATTATGTACAAGTATCTAAAGCTGAAAAATTCTCAATCTCTTAATCTTTCACAAAAAAACAACAACAATATATTCACCAGTTAAATGAACATCATGAGCACTTGAAATAAATATAAAATAACAACAGTCTTTTTAACTAAGAAGTCACTATCTCCGTGCCTTAATCCTTAGGACTGCAGCCAGACAAATCATTTGGAAGGTACACAAGGTTTTTTTTTTTTTTAATATCTAAATCACTTTTTTCAACTTGAAAAAGATTTTAATTTTTTATTATGAGGTAGAGGACTGTATGTCAATACTAGAAAACAAGTTCATATCATCCCAGGGAGAGGCTATAACCTGTGAACTCTGTACGGTTGATTGGTCAACCGGAACAGTCACCAGTTCCTCCACTTCCTGTAGCAAGGCCTCAGCTTTCTCATTCAGCAAAACCTAGAAAATGTAAACATATGTTGTTTAATTAATAGTAACTGAATACATTTTTTTTAAATTAATAATTTTAATTTCTATTAACTTTTATTCAAAACAAAAGAAAGCATATAAAATCTCTATCAACAAAGGTAGCCTAAAAAATACATCATTATTCACTCATTGAGGATGCATGTACATAAAAAATGACACATTTTCTTTGTAAATACAGAGAAGCCATAAAAATAAGCTTAGATGTAAAAATGTATTATGCATCCCTTTAAGACAAAATGTCTACAGCGAATTATTCAGCTGGGTGTCATGCATGTTGAATATACATATATTACAAAAACTTATCTTGTATAGAAATCAAATATTGAGAAAAAGACACTACAGCTCTATCTTTATGAGTTGTACAATTTTGCCACAAAAAAATTCCTACTTTTGCTGAAGCGACGATCTGTTTGGCCACTTTACGAGGGATCTGCTGTATGGATTTGACAAGAACCTCTGGATCAGCGGCTGCCACTAACGCAACAGACTGGAATCCGGCATTGTATAACTGCTTAGCTCGACCCTGTAGAATGTGAAAGACACTTTGTAAAGAATATCTTATTTTAAAATTCTTTCAATCATAAAATTAAAATAGTTTAAGCAACTAGTTCAAGGACATAAAGTAAAATCATGTAATGCGATTCATTATTTAGATCTATCATACACTGACAGAAACTTTATAGTTTTATTTTACACCTGCAGTTTGTACAATGTTATGCCAGTCACTTTACAATTTATTCTTCCAGATGTTGACATATTTCTGTTTAAAAAAAATTGTTTCAAAAATGAGGCTCTAGCCTAGTCCCCAAGTCCATGTTTTGAACAATCCTGAATCTACATAACCTAATAATTAACTTACTGTGACCCTCCACTCATAAAAAATGATTTATAAATGTATTCCTATGTAAAACTTTGACCCCTTAATCCCTGCACAAAGGGTGTGTGTGTCAATATGACTGATTCTGCCACTTCTGTTCTTGAGAAGGTTTTTCCTACATGTACATGTATCCCCACATAAAACTTCGATCCCATATTGTGGCCCCAACCTAACCCCACAGGCCATGATTTGAAAAGAAATGAATTTAAACTATGTTGAAATTTTTGTATGGGAAGATTTTTAAAAAGATTTTCCCTATATAACTTGTATTATAGTACTATATAAAACACTGACCCTCTTGCTACCAACCCTGGTGGGGGTTCAGGAATTTAACAAATCTGTAACTACACTATACTATATAAGGAAACTTGCATATCAATATGACTAACTGTGCTTCAGCTGTTCCTGAGAAGAAGATTTATAAAGATCTTCCTAATATACTAGGAGGTTCAAGGACCATAATTTGAGGAAACTTCAAATTACAATTATCAAAGAACACTCATTAAGGAAGCCTTTACAAAAGTTTTGTCTTTTCTGGCACACTGGTTCAAGATTTTAAAATGACCAAACTCTATTTTCCTTCATTTTCTCCCCTTGAAAAATGGAGTGGTTCATCAAACATATTTGAATCTGCGTCAATCAAAATGCTTAGTGGTTATGGAGAAGAAGTCGAAATGTGAAAGTTTACAGATGACACATGACAGACAGATGGACACCTAACACTTATTGATCAAAAAGTTGGCTTGAGCCTTTGGTTCAAATGAGTTCAAAGTTGTCAAATTAATTATGTTCCGATGGGAGCCCTGTATTATATTATTCCAAAGAAACATGAAGTCTAACATTTGAGCTTTATATAAAGAAGATTTGTGATGATTAATGAAAATAAAGTAAAACTTGTCTAATCCAGACACCACTGGTTCCATAGAAATTGGCTGCATTAGATAACATTCCTGATTAGACAACATTTTTTATCAATGGATTTTACTGAAAAGGACTTTCAGTAAACATTGTCTACATCACAATAGGCAAGATTTCAGAATACACAACATCCAGATTAAACAAGTTTTACTGTACATAATTATGTACCAGTTTGACGCCAGGTATTTCCATGAGCGGCAGGAGTTCTGCAGATACACAATAAGCCAGGCGCTTGACAAATGTTCCTAGTAGTTCTTGATAGGCCCAGAATTCCTCTAACTCCTGCAATGATTAGAGACAATTTGTCAAATACAAGTACTAAAACAGCAGTATGTACTAAATGTACACTTCATAATGTTCATATACACACATATAATAAGGTTTACCAACTTTTATTTTGAGTACCAAAAATATCCCAGTTTTGTGACCTTTACCCAGTTGCAGAAATTAGTAGTCACAGATGGATTTCAAACTGAAGAATCTTGAATAAACGTTGTTGTAACAAAAGTTGGTTTACAGTATATGTAGTTGATGTATCATTATGTACATGCATAAATACATCACATGAATTGCAAAAATATGTGTGGTTGCCCCATTTCTTCAAGTTTTACATGGCCAACCAGACCCCAGTGTCCATATTTTGAAAAAAACAAAACTTAAATAATCTTCACCACATAAGGATACTTTCACACAATTACTATGCAGATGGGTCTTCAGAAGAAAAAGTAAAATAAAATTATTCAAGGCTGGGCTCTTTTACGTTTGGTTGAAATTGGCCAAGTGGAGAGGCAGTTAAAAATGACAGAGGTTCCCAGACAGATGACATGCAGGATCCAATCAATAACAAACTATGATAACGTAGAACATGCTCACCTGAAGTTTCAGATCAAGGGAGCTAAAATATTGATTATGATATAGAATGTGGTAATATACCTGACAGAAGTGATAAACACATGTCGCAAAACTAGCTGCTCCAGAAAGGAGGTTCTGGACAAAGCCCCGAGGATATTCAAATTTTTCGGCGACTTCCCACAATGACTTTTGCTTCCAGAGATCGTACAACATCAGGGTCAGGTAGAAGCGCTTGACAACAAACTCGTCAACAGCCTTCAAAATAAACAATCAGGTTGTTCAATACAAATTAAAAATAAACTTCTCATCTGTCTTAAAAATGAAAAAAAAACAACAAACTAATCTTTACAAAAATTTAAAAGATGCCAGGCACAAAATATCATATGTTCATGTACATGTAGTGTACACATGTCTATCTTTTCAGAAACAAATTTAATATACCCAGTGACATGAAAAGGAACAATGAGCTGCCAAAGTTTTAGGTGATTATTGTACATTTACTTGTAGATTTGAGATTGGAGTTATGAATTTCACACACAGAAGCTGTATATACCTGTCTTGTGTATTGGCCCGAGGCTTTCTTTGCTACATAAGATTCGGGTACACCTATCAACTCAGCCACCTTCAGCTCCACAGGAGTCAACATACTTATCTACAAAATAATACAAATATGTGATACACTGACATCTTCAATGTGACAATTAAATACCACTCCTTTTAGATTCAGCTTCAGAAATGAAGGAGTCTCTCTTGCTAAACAATGCTTATACTATATATACATAAAAGAAACTCACAATTTTATATAAAAAAATAACTTTGTTTCGTTAAGCATCTTCTTGTCTAAAAAAAACCTAATAAATCTTCCTGAAGCAAACATGAGTTAGAATTCAATCAATTCATTCGGTTTTATATGCAGAGTACATTAAATATGTCAGAACTCTTGTTGAAAATACTGCATCACTTGTGTAAACTTGAGCAACACTCCCACTTAAACTTATTCACCAAGTTCAAATGATTTTAAATGACCTGCTGTGTTTGCAATGAAGGATATGTGTGTTTCTCATGAGTTCCTTTGATTGACTTGATTCAAAGAAAAGGAAAGAGAAACAAGGTCTATCTATGGTGTACTTAAACAGAAAAGACACACTGTAGTCTAGTCTGCTCTGATGACACCAACTTTGTACTTTAGTGATGACCTATACATACAATCATGTAGAAATACATTATTTAATCTACTTTGAAGATACCAACACTGTTCTCAGTTTAGCAATGACCTGTACTTGGAATGCTTAGGAGACTTAAGAAGAGGTTCCAACTCATTCTTTTCAACAAGAAACTTTTTGGGACACATTAACATGGGAGTGCTTGTCCATACTTCCACAAAATAAAAGGGAGGAAGCAACTTTTTCACTTAAAATTTTCATACTAAATTAACAGCAACAGAATATTTTGGGTAAACTACATGCCTGCAAGAAATCTAATTTTACTCACTGCTTGTTCAAAGGAATACCACCCTTAAGAAAAAATTCTGTTTACTTTAAATTCTGATTATGAATTTCTTCTTTATATATATATACCTGTTTGAAATAAGTCATCCATGGTGGTTGAACTTCCTTGACAAGGTCATATGGGGTCACAAGGAACAATAAATGTAGATAGCTAGCAAGAACCAGAGATTCTTCTGCCTTCTTCAAGTCTTTATACAACTGAGCAGAAAAGTCCAGATCAACTGATCCTGTAAAAACAGAAAGTCCAGATCAACATGTTCTATTAATACAGTAAAGTCCAGATCTAAAGATCCTGTAAATACTAAAAAGTCCAGATCAAAAGTTCCTGTAAATACTAAAAAGTCCAGATCTTAAGATCCTGTAAATACTAAAAAGTCCAGATCTAAAGATCCTGTAAACACAGAAAAGTCCAGATCTACAGATCTTGTCAATGAAGAATAGTCCAGATCTACAATCCTGTAAAACAGAAAAGTTTGCATCTAATGATCCTATAAATACAGGTAAGCCTGCAGCTAAAGATCTTGTAAATATAGATACATGTAGGTTTACATCTACAGATCCCATATACATGTATTCAGAAAAGTCTATATCTTCAGATCCTGTTTATACAGGAAAATTAACTTTTGATATACATGTATCAGATTAAAATGTTTGAGGAAATTTATGTCAGATCTAGGTGTTCCATCTTAAATGAAAGAAAAAGTGAGCAAGCTCACATACCCCACACTCCCCTAAAACTCGTAATGAATGACACAGTGCATTTTAAATACACAGTATAATTCAAAAAGGGGCATTACTTGCAAAAAATCATCACATCAAAACTTCTTGCATATAAGGACATTCAAATCTTTGTATGTTACAAATTTAATTGAGCTGAAGTTTCTATTTAAATAATGGAATCAAAATTTCTTGGAAATATACACATCTATACATTATGTCTGAAGTTTCAGGAAAATCAGTGCAGGAGTTATGCTGACAATCTGTTATTCAAATTCCTCAGTGATTTCGATTTGTTAATGAGTGTAAGTCCATGTCCAACATATGACATTTTACACATTTAAATAATTGATGGAAACAAAATTATGATGTAGTCATATGAATTTGTTTATATACTGTACTTATGAAAATATCTAAGGCAAAGTACCAATTTGAGGGGGGGGGGGGGGGGGGGGGGGGGAGAACTATCCAAGATTTTGTGTGTGAGTGTGTGTGTTAAATCATTAATATTTTGATCTCAAATTCAATAGGGGTCTTTTAAGGTCATAAAATTTTTCACATAAAATTTCATTACAAAAGCTGATTCCAGTGGATTTCCTTATTACCTAGCTGGAAAGTTACTTCAATAATAGATAAAACTCTTAAGGCAAAAATTACGGAATCAGAATTTCCTGGTAATATGCACATCTACACACTGTGTACTAAATATCTGCGAAGTTTAACAAAATTCTGTGCAGCGGTTTAAGAGGAGTTGCACTGACAAACTGTTCTTCTCTATATTCAAGATATGGCCAAAAATCTAATTTGAAAAGTGCCGAAATTCCCAGAAAAATAATGGAATTCGAATTTCCTGGTAATATACACATCTACACATTGTGTGCTAAATAACTGCAAAGTTTTATGAAATTCTGTGCAGCGGTTTAAGAGGAGTTGCACTGACAAACTGTTCATCTCTATATTCAAGATATGGCCAAAAATCTAATTTGAAAAGTGCCGAAATTCCCAGAAAAATAATGGAATTCGAATTTCCTGGTAATATGCACATCTACACATTGTGTGCTAAATAACTGCAAAGTTTTATGAAATTCTGTGCAGCGGTTTAAGAGGAGTTGCACTGACAAACTGTTCATCTCTATATTCACGATATGGCCAAAAATCTAAGTTGAAAAGTGCCGAAATTCCCAGAAAAAATAAAGGAATCGGAATTTCCTGGTAATATGCACATCTACACATTGTGTGCTAAATATCTGCAAAGTTTGATGAAATTCTGTGCAGCAGTTTATGAGGAGTTGCGCTGACAAAAAAAACAGGACTGACGGACTGACTGACTGACACACTGACTGACGGACGAGTCAAAAACATTACACCTCACACAACTTGTTGCGTGGGGTATAAATACCTTTGAATGTGGCTCGTCCCAGAGGTGTAACTTCCAGTGTGTGGGGGAGTGGGGAGTTTTCTTTATCTTGTGATAGCATCCTTATCTGTCTCACTAATCCCATGTCAATCAAGTGCTGAAGAGCATCTTTTGTCGTGGCAACAATGTCACATGACAACTGAGAAGCCTGGATGGATAGTAATGTGCGAGTCATCATTTCAAAAACTTCCTCTGTTGTCTTGGTGACCTGAAAAATGAAGAAGATTTCTGTGTTCAAGGTCTGGATGAAAAACTATCAATTACTGAACTCACTCGAAAACATATTGTTGATTTATTATATCATGAATATTTTTGTTTATTTACATTTATAATACACGTGAACTTATCTTCAAGATCCATATCTTGAATACCATGGATATGTGAAAGTGAGTTGAAAGTTCCAACATTTTTTTTTTAAATTTATTTTAACCTCTGTATTTCAAAACCTTTACTACATATCTCAAGTTTTTTACTTCCTACTCATACATGTAGGTCAACTAAGAGAAACATAAAATTTGTATCAGACCTTAACTATATGACATTTTTCTGAAATTATTTTGATAAGACAGTTCCCTCAGACTACCTGTAGACCTATGGTGGACAGGATAAGAGATCTGATTCCTTTTCCATCCTCATAATTGAGACTGCTGTAACAGTTCTCCAGGGGACCACTAATTATCTCCCACACCTGAAAAAGAGGATTTCAGTACAAAAAATATGTGACCAGATGTATATGAACTAGTAGCTGTATTTTATACTCTAAACCAACTTTTATTCATAAGCGAGAATTATTGGCAAGTTTTGCACTGAAGTATGAAGATAATGAACAGTAATCAAGCTCAAAAGTTCATTGAAAAAATACAAATTGTGAGCAGAGCAAACATGGACCTCAAAAACTATCAGAAGTGGGATCAGGTGCCATGGAGGAGTAAGCATCCCCTGTCGACCGGTCACACTCTCGTGCTCCTTGTAATGATTGGGTAAACCGAAATTCAGTGTGATGATAATAAATTGGATATGTTTCGCTGTATAATTTTTATCTCATGCCAAAAGAGATGTCATTCAGTCCTTGGGACTGACAATAAAGAATGCTCTCCCCTGTTATATATAGAGATGATTACTTACACCTGTCCTTGGGACTGACAATAAAGAATGCTCTCCCCTGTTATATATAGAGATGATTACTTACACCTGTCCTTGGGACTGATAATAAGAATGCTCTCCCCTGTTATATATAGAGATGATTACCTTACACCTGTCCTTGGGACTGACAATAAGAATGCTCTCCCCTGTTATATATAGAGATGATTACCTTACACCTGTCTTTGAGACTGACAATAAGAATGCTCTCCCCTGTTATATATAGAGATGATTACCTTACACCTGTCCTTGGGACTGACAATAAGAATACTCTCCCCTGTTATATATAGAGATGATTACCTTACACCTGTCCTTGGGACTGACAATAAGAATACTCTCCCCTGTTATATATAGAGATGATTACCTTACACCTGTCTTTGAGACTGACAATAAGAATGCTCTACCCTGTTATAAATAGAGATGATTACCTTACACCTGTCCTTGGGACTGACAATAAAAATGCTCTCCCCTGTTATAAATAGAGATGATTACCTTACACCTGTCCTTGGGACTGACAACAAGAATGCTCTCCCCTGTTTTATATAGTGATGATTACCTTACACCTGTCTTTAGGACTGACAATAAGAATGCTCTCCCCTGTTGTATCTTTGCCTGCCCTTCCTGCTCGTCCAATCATCTGTTTATACTGACTCCTGTTGAGGAACTGTGTACCAATGTATGGATTGCGCAATATCACTCTGAAAAGTTCAATTTACATATACCTACATAGAGAAACGGTTTTCAACATAAATCAATAAAAAATCAGTTCACATAAATCAAATAAAAAATCAGTTCACATAAATCAAATAAAAAAATCAGTTCAGACTGGTGTTCGAAATCTGTACTTAGTGCAAATTATGACCTTAGGACAAACTAGACTGGTATAGAGATCTTTTTTGTTGGTAGTCTGGTATAATGACTTTCGGGTTATTATACTGACCTTTTTGCAGGAAGATTGACACCAGCAGCTAGTGTAGAGGTACAAGCCAGGAGACACAGTACACCATCAGAGTATGCCTCCTCCAGTAGATGGCGCTCATCTGTTGTCAGACCACTATGGTGGTATGCTATACCAAAATGTATGGTATGCTGAAGCACAGGACACATTCTCTGTTCCCCATCTTTGTACAGTTCCTTCAACAAATCTTTTCTTTCTTGTCTTTTCACTTGACTTAGTTCTCTTTGTTGAATAAAAAAAATTATAAATTCATTTTCTAGGGAGACAAGTTTCAATTTGTTGATTTGAATAAAGCCATAATGGCAATAAGAAAGTTCAACAAATTCAAGAAATATAATTAAAAATTTAACACGTTTCATTTTTGTATTTCACTTGTGTTTCATATCCCTTATTGCTTGCATTTTAAATTCCTACCACTTAGATTTCATATCTTTATTGATTACATTTCATATCCTTAACCCTTGTAATCACTTGTACTTCCTATCCTTACCTCTTGTATTTGGCCATTAATTTACTCAGCATCAGGGCAACATTTTCACAGTTTTTCTTGGTGGAGCAAAAGATGAGACAGGAGTGTTGTGGGACAACCTCTGTCACAAGACCTAGGAGGTGGTCCGGGTCCATTTTGTTCATCTCTGGACTGTACTGAAATCAAATTCCATCAGCTGTACATTTATCCACAACAGAAAGTTAAAATCAAAATCAAACAGATACATATGTAAATCATATACTGTAAAATCACTAATTTTTGTGGGTGGGTGGGTGTTGTGTGTGTGTGTGTGGGGGGGGGGTAATTTTTGGTGTTTTCAAAGTATGAGGAGACCCACAAATTCATGTCTACCATGAAATGTGAAATGTAGAATTTCACACTAATCACTATTCACTTCTCTTACCACAAAATCAAATCCCCACAAATAGACTTGACTAACTTAGTGTAGTTTAATTGTGTTTTAATTTTTACTACTGTAGGTAAAAAGAAATTTTTTCCTCAAACCTTTAAAATTTGACCCCACAAAAATATGTCATTTTACAGTAATCTCCTCTGAGACAAATTTTCATAATGTAAGCACCTTTTTACTCTGCGCTGTTAGCAGTCTTACTAATAAAATCTCATCAACATGAAACAGAGAACTACATGTACATCAAGACCATAAACTGAGAAGAGAATTAACTCAAAATTTAGATTTTGAATATTTTGTCTTCTGTTGAACAAACATATTTAAGCACTCATAAGTTTGAATAATATTCAAATACAAATATATAATGCAAATTTCATTTCATTTTCAAAATAATGTATATAAATATTTCCAAGGTTATATTATTTTGCAATTTTGACTCAGTTCCAGGACTTGCGAATCATAGCAAAATTTCTCAGGGAATGATTTAAAAGTTTTTCTGAAGCTTAACAATCCTTGGTGTCTTAGTTATGCAGACCTCTTCTCTCGTGACTGACCTGGAAAGCTACGGTCCGTTGATGATGTAAACTTTCCTGCAGAGTTTGACCTTTCTGCACTTCAAAAATGCTGTCATCCAGTTTCACATGTTCAGTAAGCTTGACCTAAATAAGTAGATTATGATGTTTTGATAAAATTTAAGTCTTGTAATGTTGCTAATGAAAAAGCTAAATGAAAAATATAACCTGTGCCAAGAAAAATAATGCACTGATATTTCATAACATGCACAAGGATTCCTTACTGGACGGAAATCACTGGAGAAAATGTCAGCTTTAAGGAATGTCAGGAGATCGGTTATATTATTCAGGGTAGCACTCATTCCAATTATCTGTGTGGAAGCTGAAAGGGGGGAAAAAAACTCATATGACAACATGTCTGATTCACTTTATATTTTAAACAGTTAATTTCTTAAACTTACACTGATAATTTACATGTAATTAATTATTTTAAGTTTTAATAAGGCTACAGAATCCCCATTGATGATTATTTCCATGCAATTCACAACTCATCACTCAACACCCAAAAACCTTCTGATGTACTGGTAGCTGTTTTTCAATTATTTTTTAAATTTCTGATGAGTGCCAGAGGATCAACAACATCTCACTTTTGAAAGCTGATTTTCTTTGCATCTTAAGTTGGAATCATAATGATTCTTAACTTGGTTTGAAGTGAGGCTAAAAGGCAGGTGGCCGTGGGATGGTAGTATGGTGTGAGTAAAATCTGGAACTGGAAGAAGCACTTACCTTTGGCATAGATAATTTTCAGAAGAGTGGCTTCTAAACGGGATCCTCGACTTCTCCCCTCACCAATCATGTGAAGCTACAAAGAAAACTGGTCCCCCTGATGATAGGATTAAACCATGATGGACTTCCCACGCAGTTGAAAATGTTTCAAGATATGAACTTTAAACACTAAAATTTTGTCAGCACTAAGTAATTGGCTCTCCAATTATTGTATTCCTAGTACATCATGCCTCTCTGATTACAAAATAAATGTCAAATATATCTTTATCACCACCAGCAAATTGCCAAAAGGGCAAGACACTCCCTATTGTTAAATTATAAATTCAAATTTTCTTTATCACAGATTAAGTCTTGAATTTTTCCACAAAGAATACATGTACTCCAAACCAAAGATCTGTGATGAGAAATATTTGTGAGAAATATATGCGAGAAAAATATGGTTTGAGGCCAGTGGATATTTCTCACAAGTGAATAAAAGTTGTTTTACATCATCTCTAAAAGAGTTTGTTGAAAATAAGCCTGTGTGTCAATTACCTCATCCACTACTACCAAACCCAGGGAACCCAGTCTCCCCTGCTCTATCAAACTGTTCACTAGAGAGTGAGCTTTCTCTATGGTAGCTACATACAGGGACCTTTTTCTGTGTTTAATGGGAGGAAATTTGCCTTTACTGCCAGCATATTCTTCCACCAGGAAGTCTAACTCCACAGCTAATTGGGCCATTCCTTTGACCTGTGTAGGTAAATGTAAAACATTTATTTATCAGTGTTTATAATACATGATATAACATTCATTGAGCAGGGTTTATTTTAAGTTTTCATTCAAATCAGTGTTTAAATATTTCTTATATAAAAAAAATGTTTCACTGTTTACTTATCAAATCATCTCTTCAATGACCAGTACTGATCATTACATATTTCTTACTCCCTGAATCTATTTCAAAGAATTTCTATAAAATAAATATGGATACACTCAATACCAAATGTAAACAACCTTTTCCTGGACAATGGACACAAACGGAAGAATCATCATGGCGTCTTTCTTCCTACACAGCATTTCCTTCAGAATTAGGACCTCTGCCACCAGAGTCTTGCCTCCACTAGTAGGTAAAGAATAAACCAGATTACCTCCCCTTTGCAGTGTTGGAAGTCTCAGGCACTTGTCCTGCCACTCTGAAATACATGTACATATTATACAGTGCATATTACTGCCATTCTTTAATATCAGATACCACATACAGCATTATTTTTCTTGAAGTCCTGTTTTCTCTAATTTATGGTTACCGGTAAATAAAACTATGAAAATAAAACTACCAGTTTATTATTTTCAACATAGAAGAGAAAGAAAAAAAAATGAACTCAAGCAGGAGAAAAACAAGTCTGTGATATGCTTTTCATCGAAATCAAAGCTACAAATAGTATCAGTACTTTTATCTACCTAGTATGTATAATTTTTTGTTTTTTCAAAGAAAATGGACAGACTTTAGAAAGTCAAATAAGTACCATATAGTGAAGTTATTCCTCTCTGGGTCTGTAACAGCTGTTGGACTTTTGATGGCAAACCATAAAATGGACCAATGTCACTGGCAGATCCTTCTCCTTGTATAATGGCCACCTCCCTCTCTACCTCTTTTAATCGGCTCTGTCTTCCCTGCTCAACTGTCTGGGCAGGACTAACGGGGGATTTAGTCCCAACGTTCTGTAGTAATTTTCTTTTTAATCGATCCCTTAGTGATCCCACACTATTGACAGAATTAAAAACTTCTCCACTTTTGAACTGATCTGAAGATTTCTGTCCTATATACTTGACCTCTTTTTCAGTATTATCATTGCACACGGATATATGGGGTTTTGAATTTCTATCACAGACACTTTTTTGTATAGTACTCTGAGTTTTACCCTTTAAATCACAATCACCATTTTGTATACTGTTCCTGCAATTTTCATTGACAAAAACTTTTTTTTCATTAGGCCTACATTTAGGCGACAAAATCACGCAATCTCTTTTAACTTGTTCGTTCAAAACACTTTCATTTTTTGCTGGCTCTTCTGAAACAGTGTCTACAAAATCAATGGAGTTTTGACTCTCAATGGACTCCACATGGCTCAGAAAATCTTGGTCTTGAAAACTCTCTTCAAAGAAATCCTTCTCTGAGTTGTTATCGGAATTATCCTGTTCTGATGGTTTCCCTGGTGGTTTTTGTTCTCCATTTGTCAAAGGAAACTCCAGCCTACTGCTTTCTTTCCCCTTGTCTGCACTCAAATCTCTGACATCCACCGCAGTTTCTTTCAATTGTACATCCACTTCATGTTGAATCTTGTTCCCCTTGAAAAAAAAACAAACAAACAATCAGTACAATAACACCATAAAATATCACACAAGATTATTTATCATTGCTTCATTTTTGTGAGACAACAGAAGTTTCAGAACTGTATTGATGTGTTACACATAATTTTCATTTGTATCCTCAATAAGCGGTAATTAGAATTACTTGACCCATTGACCCATGGGCTTTATTTCTGTGAAAACACAATCTTGTGAAATTACCGGTATGTGTAGATTAATGTGATATAAATCTGATATACTTCACATTGATGGAAAATGACAATTTTGTATATATTTTACTGTAGTGGCACTAAAGGTAATTTTATTTCCTCTGTTGAAAATGTTGACCTGGTTACAACATCCAATAAAGTACACTAAACATACTATGATAACAAACATGTAAGTGTTGTAAACCTTTGAACTTTTGCCTGCACTGCAAAATGAACTTTCAAACCATCCCTGTTCTTGACCATGTTGACCACTAGTCACTGCAGCTGTTGCCATGGTTTTGATGATTACATCGTCCTTCAAAGATCTCTCTACCTCTTTATCAGATTGTCTAAAGTATTTCGATGTTTTCTTGACCTGATCTTCACTTACGTCATGGCTGGGACGTCGCTTTCTGGCACCTAGCAGTTTTCTTTGTGGCCCATTTTCTGTCTGTAGACTTGGCATTGCCAGGGCCATCATGGAGCGAAAAAAACTTTAATACCCACAGGTTTCAGTCAAACCCTAATGCACATGGTCTGGAATTAGAATTATTAGATGCAATTTAGTAAATAATTTATAAAACATTAAATCAATTATTCATGTTCATGAAGATTTTTTTTCTTAAAAAATATGAAGATATAGGTAACATTGTACAATCATTCCTTCCATGTTTAATTTACTCCTCTTTATACTGCATGGCAAGATTAAAGATGGTTTTTAATTTCTTGATATTTTTTTTCTCCAAATAAATTTAATCATCATATTTAAATATGTTCATGTCACACAATTTTCCTAGTGCATTTAATGTAAAATGGAATTGTGTCTGTTAAAATTATCCTTTCTAAGAAGTACATGTAGTTAAAATTTTTCATAGTTTTTCTCATCAGTTTGTGTTACTATATAATTTTGTATACCTTGGTTTTCTCATACTCAGAGGAGGATGACTCCTTATCAAAGTCAACTCAAACAATTTTTCTTATCAAATTTTAATTATATTTTCATTGCAAATGCATGATTCTTATCAATTCTTAAATTTGTTATATTTATTGGGTAGCACACAACAAAGCTGATGAGAGACTTTTTTCTGATGACTATTGTAGAGAAAGACTGAAAATGTCATCTCTCATTGCTCTTATCTGCTAAACACAGATAACAATAGGGTGTAGATTTTTAGTGTTATTAGCCACTTGGTGTATATATACATATTCTAAATGTGACCAGGTGCTGTCCTGCAAATAAATTCAACTCAAGTTGTCCCTAAGGTTTGAAATAGCAGGGGACACTAAACAAGTAGAAGGGAATCTGGAGTTCCTCTCCTAAAAGGGAATTGAGAGGGAATACTAGAATAACCAATGGATAATGTCATCATCGGTGGGGAAATTCCCCCGTCCCCAGGTCTTAGAGGGACAACCCTGCCACTGAGATCTCGAAGTAACTCACCAGTCATTATATTTACTGTGAATAGCACAAGTACTTGGGTCTTTGTTTATAAATATATAATTACATTTCCAATTATTTTCACTTAAGATACAAATTAGAATACAGTTTATTTTCTCATGAACTACCATGGATGAGAATGATTATCTTTTTGTTACGTCATAACACCGTACTTGATGTCAAAACTATAGTGCAAACTGTTTTGTTTTAAAAAAGGCAATGGAATGGCATAACTTGCGCCAACTTATCATATAAATAATGTTAATATGAGATATGAATTCAATTTTTGAAGATTCATGAGGTACATGAACTACAAGGCTTCACACCAGCATATTTATCATCATATCATGAAGCACTAAGGCGTTTCATGAAATATGCTGACGTGAAGCATTGTAGTTTCATGTCCTCATGAATTTTCAAAAATTAAATTCATTTCTTAAGCATATACTTATATGTAAAAAAGAGGAAAGGTATGCAGACTCTGAAAAGGCATCTGCTCCACTTACTTGTTTACACGGCTTGTTCTTTGAAAATAACGCTGCACCTACAGCATTCATGCACCTGTCGTCTTGGAATATTGATTACTTATCGTAATATAATATAATTTTGATTGTAACGTGTCATTTGATTGGATGAAAAATTTAGTTTATAGCGCATAACCTGTGTTGCCTATATCACAATGACTTACGTCAAAAACGTATCAATCTGCTTGACATTACATTTAAAATATGTACAATTTGAAAATATTTCTGAAGGAGAAATTGTCTTATTTTCTACAATGATGGAAAATTAAATTATAAGGAATTAATTTAATAGCTACTCAAGTTATACTGGTATATAACCTGGTACCCAAGTACCTGTGGTGACTGGTGAATGGATCATCGTGGTCTCACTTGCAATTTCCTGTGCGCGGTATATTTATGCTTCAAAGCATTTCTCTTATGCAAAGAAACACAATGATGAATTTCTCTTACAGAGAATACATGTAATCAGGTTCAGCGGTGTATGCATCCCTTTCCGTCTGCGAAAATTCGGACTAGATCGACGTAAACAAATGATACCGTTCTGTTTTCTTCTGTAGAAGTGTGTAGTATCATAATCGTCTTATCTTTTTCTGTAAATACACATGACTTTCTGTAAATGTCTGACACTTTGACAAGTTAGAGGTCTGGCTAACGCCAAAATTTATGCTAATGCTTTCACGATAATGACGATTTACTGTCTGTCTTGCTTCGAATCCTGCAGCACATATTCAACATCAATTATGATTGGATGAAAATTTACCGGATATCGAAATGTAATGGATAATTTCAAACTGTTGACGTTCAGAAATACGGCATATGTGGTGCCCCAAAAATTGAATATTAAAAATCAAGAAAATTTGTCCAATTAAAAAAATACAATAATATAATATTTTTTGTTATCACGAAGCCAAAAAAAACATGTATGTAATATATGTTTTTTTTTTTAGATAGTACGCAAAATCTGGTACAAAGAGAAAGCGAAAATAGGTCTGCTATAATGTGTTTTCCGAAAAGACTATAGTTTTCTTGCATTACATGAAATATAATGGCCTCCTATTTTCCGAAAATTTTAAACTAAATAAAAAGGCTATATAGAATTAAATGTCTGTTGAACATAATTTGGACACAAAGCTTTACCTCTCAGACCCCCAGAACAACGAGTCAACATGAAATTTGGTATTTCACACGTAACATCCAGATAAAACTAAAAAAAAAATCATAAATTAAAATTAAACAAATCAAGGTCACGGAGGGCGTAGGAGAGCACCATTTAATTCAGGAGTGGTGATGGTGGCTGATTAATATAATATTAAAATCTCTCCTTGATAATGATGAAAATAAATAATCTGTGCTCCACTGGGAAGAGAAAAAATAATGGAACCTTGACTGGTTGTATCCTCCAACTCCAACCCACCCTCTATATCTAAAGAGAAAGATTTTGAGTTGCGCAGATTTTCTTTTTTTCACATTATTGTCAACCTTTTCTTAGCGGAGATAAACTTAAGATAAAGATGGATAAATTGACCTCCAATTTTCATAGAAATAAATAATTATTAATCTGTCCTTCACTGAGTCAGCATGAAAATTAATAATCTGACTCGAAAAAAAAAAATAAAACACCAGCCCCTCCTCTCTCTCTTTCTCAGAATCAAATGGTCTTTATTATATGATAGGGTAGCTCTCCTTGAAAAAATAATCGGAAAATTTTATTTCCCATAAATGAAGCCACAGTTTTGCAACTATAAAGATGGGGTGGGGCTATTCAAACCCCTTCGATCTTCTTTGGACTGCCCCTTCTCACATAGATACACCCATCGTTCACTTGTACCCATGCATTGTCTGGCTAATCAAAAAGCAATAAGACCATTGATTGAAAAGTCATCAAATTGGTCTCAAAGTGTTTTGAACTCTGAGTCGAGTGTTGGCCCGAATTGTTCATTATACAATTTCTAAACCAAGGCAGGGTATTGATAATTAAGTTGATGTTACAAGGGTATCAACAATCTCGGTTAAAGTCAACATTTGTGCAAATTCTACGGTCGTTACATTGACTTTAGGCCATTTTAATACATACTTAGGTGTTGTTTTTTTTTACCCAATCAAGACAAATGATCCATTGCGGGTGTTAGCGGTCAGTAGGGGATGCTTACTCCTCCATGGTACTTGATCCCACCTCTGATCTTTTCAGAGGCCTGTGTTAACAATGCTCTCACTTTGCATCGTTTATTTGGACTTTTGAGCATGATTAATGTTCGTTATATATATGTGTTTAAATTTTGCGTACTGAAGCATTGAAAGTGTGAACGCATTTAAAATTAGTGTATTATATTTCAAATACAAATAAAGTTCTAAAAAATGATGCACTCAGATTGTACAAATTAAATGATGTATGTTACTTAGTTCAAATCATGAAGATTTGCCTTTCAGATTTTTTTTTCTTCCAAAAAATGGTGTACCAATATATTGGAAACGTTAAATTAAATTAGCTTTGCCTATAATGGATTACATTTCAAATACGTTCTGTTCGTTTCCACGAAAATTAACAGAATCATATCTAAAGTGTATACATAGCAGACAAGAATATGCTATTATAATATCTAGTCTAACTACACTGGAATAATTTACTAGCCAATATCAATATATTCTAGGGACTAACACATAAATATTCGCATTATCATATTTTGTGTTTGAATGAAGAACCTTAGGGTGATATTTGCCAGATTGTAAGTTAAATGGTAAGTCATTATAAAATGTTCAATATCTATACTTTTCTGTGAGTGACAGTGACCACTTTTTTACATGTATATATACATGTGCATGTATATTTTTTTATACTCCTTTTTGCTAGAAAGCCAGTTCGTTTTATTTAGAAGATTACTCTGCCAATTAAGCCAGTATTGAAAATGAAAATAAAAATGCATTGGAAAAAGTCCATGGGTTAATTAAACGGTGAGGTAAAAAGTAGACATAATCGCGCTTTTCCTTTTTTCTTTCTTTCTTTCTACTCTTCTTCTTCTTTCAGTTCAATCAGAAACCAGATTCAATCATATACCAGAATATTGCACACCATTAAATTTCGATATTTTGTCAGTAGAAACCTCTATTTATCTATTCATCCAATCACGTCTCCTTATTTTTTCCGAAACGGAATCCAAGAAAAGCAATTATGTTACAAAAATAGAAAAGTGATGTCATGCGAAATAAATACGCGGGCAATACCATTTAATTAGTTAAGCAACTTAATTTATACTCCCAAGTGCTTCCGCTCTTAAGTTGACCAGTTACCACTTTTCATTACAAGAAAACACTGGGAAATTGTCAGGTATATAAAAAATAATTATAATGTGCATTATTAAGTTATTAATTACCCTAAGATCAGCTCCTCTCATTATAGCCCCGAAACCAGCGTTTTTGATGAGTAAATCCAGCAAAGTTGAAAAAAAGAGTGACTCTTATATTCCCCGAAAGACAGACGAAGGGCCTGATTGACCATGAAATTCGGACAAAGTACCTGCCATTAAAAGACATAAAATGATACAAGGGTGGATCCAAGAATTTTCGGGGGGGGGGGGGGTCCAAAACCACTTGGAAAAAAATTGACTCAAGACATTTTTCTGACCATCCAACAAAAGGGGGAGGAATGATTAAAAAAAATCGTATGGGAATGAAGAGATACCCGACTCTCAACAATTATTATTAAAAAAAAATAATTAAAAACTATCTAGTAAAAAAAACAAAAAAACAACAACAACAACAACAACAACAACAACAACAACAACAACAAAACTATCTCTTGGGGTGGAGGGATGCGTCTTTCTTGGTCACATATAAATAAATGACTCTTCTCAACAATTTATGGGGGTCCTTTGGGGGAGGGGGGTAATTGTATGGTTATTTTTCTTTATAAATTGGATAACTCTGAAAATCCCTTGAGGGTAGGAATCCTCTCCCTCGGTGGATACGCTTCTGAAGAAATACAATATATATCTTAATAATTATATAGTATATGGTATCTTATAGAAAAAATAATAAATAAAACTAAAAATGTAAATAGAAATTAATTAATAACAATGCATTGAGATTTCAATCATTACAGTCTAAAGCATAGCATCATGATGCAATTTACAAAGTGTTGATGCTTTTTTCATCTAGCTTTAGAGACCGTTTTTAAAGATCATTTTTGAGATACTAAATAGATAAGAGCTATAGGGAAAAAGCTATATCCTTTACATAATTTGCAAGATATATAAAAGAATGAAACTTCCAAAGATTTTGTTTATATTTATTGGATTTTTGTCAATATATGATTTAATATTTACCATCCAGTGTGTTAACCCGCAGCAAATAACTAAAACAAAAGCCCCCCCCCCTTTTCAAACCTCCAAAAAGAACAAAACAAAACAAACACACGTATATTTAAAAAAAAACAAACAATAATAACACTTTTATTTTTTGGCACTCAGAATATACATGTATACAGTATGATTTTTCAGTTTGTTTGTTAATTTGCTAATTGTTTTGCTAATTTTACACTGTTTAATTTAATTAGAAGTATAAGACTTTTTCTTTTATTTCAAGATCATGATCCCTGGATACCTGTTATTAAGAATATGCTTATAAAATAAGTTCAGGTTCAGGCACGTACCGTGGTTGTATCGGGGGGGGGGGGGGGGTCCTCCAAACTACTAGTAACTTTTTACTGTTAATTTAGTATGAAAAAGTTCAATGAAAGCCACCCCCTTTCCCCACTACCACCATTATTTTTTGTTAATTGCCATTGAGTCAAATGCTTCAATGTTAATTCAAAATTGTAATAGTCGAAAAACCTGCAACCTGCAACCCCCCCCCCCCCACGAAGTAGGATTTTCGAGTTTAGAACCCCCTTTTTGTTTTTGCTCTTCAAAATTTTTTCAGGTACATGAAAGTTAATTATCATTTATTCCCCCCCCCCTTTCTCAAAAACGATGCTACGTACGCGTCTTAAGTTTGAGACGTTTAATTTCTTTTTCACGAGGTCTGTTAATCTGAAGATTTTATAATATTTCGACGGATATGAAACAAGTTTTAAAAAACTGAGGCAATACAGATGAACTTCAAGATAGGATTAACCCTTGACAGGGGAAAACAAATGAATAGGAACTTAATTTATTCTGCAATAACATAAATTACTGACGAAATCACCTTTGTGCAATAAAAAAAATAAATAAATAAATAAAAAGTCTTGATTTAAAGGCTTTAAAAAGTCACAATTTTGCAAGGAGAATCAAAAACAATTTTTATTTTTTATTTATCTGGGGGTGTCTTCAATGTCAAACTCTGCAGCAGAATCATAGAGATCTTGAAAAAGGTTCCATTTAACCCTTCACCTTCGTTCCGACCTCAGGGAAAACACCGCCTACACAAACTCGATCCCCGAGTCCACGCGTCGGAATAACCTGGAAGTGAGTCATGCTAAAATATGTTTAAATGACCCATATGTACATACCCGAATGGCTTGAATTTTTGGAGCTGAACCTTTGACCTGAATACAAATGGGATTAAAAGTCCGTTTTCTGAAAATATAGTCAGTTTTACAAAAGTTTACAGCAGAGTTTAAATCGAAAGTAGGATTCTGTGCCTCAGGAAAAAGGACGAGATACTTCCGATAATCGTATCATCAACTAGTCTGGAACTAGCTATAGATGAAGTGGGTTGATATTTTTGGATCAAACTCTCCAAAAATGACATGATGCACACTACTGACCGCTGTTACAGCCAATCATTGCACGTATATTAAAACTTTTCTCTGCCTAATTTAACCGTAACATGGAATCGGTATAGACCCTGGATGTCATCGAAAAAAATGGAATTCATGCAACTCTTCACTTAATTGTTCTTTTTTCTCAGTTTTTCATATATCTATAGATCAATTATTATGTATTTGAACAGAATTGTTTTATTAATAGAGGGAGAGTATTAGAATAATAAGATGACATAGATATATAAATTCATGTAGGGAACAAAAAAGAAAGGAAAAGAAATATATGCATTCAAATATTCACAGAAATTCTTCTAGTAATTTTAACAATTAAAGAAACTTAATATCTACATGTATTCATCGTTAATTAATTGTAATTTACTAATGAAATTTAAATCCTCTGCGCCCTGGAATGCATGATTAATTGTACTCTCTCTCTCTCTTTGAGAGGGTTAGAGTTTATGTTTGCTCTGCTCCTATTTTGTATTGTTTAATGGACTTTTGAGCTTGAATACTGTTCGTTATCTCCATATATTTCATGCTTCCACGACATTTTCCATTGCTATGCTTTTGATTCATTCAAATTTTCTACCCATATTTATTGCTTAATTTTATATGAACTTGCAAGATAATATTTATCACATCTATTTTGGTCATTTCTCAGTACAAAAATTTGAAGATTTTTTTTTTATTTTTGAGGTTAGTAAATTTTGAGCACTAGTCCTATATAAGTCTGTTTTACATAGTCTGAGCAGTAGATCTGAACAGGTCACTAAAGTCAATTTACTTTTTAAAAAATCCTTCTTATTTATTTATTTACTTGTTTACATATTTATTTTATTGTTGTTGTTGTCCCTCATAACTAAACAATGTAAACTTTGAATGATATTCATAAAAAAGTATGGATTTACCATATTCGTAATTAGCATGATAACGTATTTACACACAGACACACTCGCACAGAGAGAGAGAGAGAGAGAGAGAGAGAGGATTATACAATTATAGTAACACGTTCAATGTACAAGTTGTCAACTTGAAACTGAATTGTTGGTAACAAAGATCATGCGTTATAAATAAACCAGATAACTATATAGTGTAAATTACATAAGTGTGCGCTATTAATAAATTCGCTATGTGGTCAATAGGCTATAGGGAATAGAAGTGTTATAAATCAATATCGAACCCCCCTTTTTTTTATCAATTCTGTCCAATTCATACGGCTAGTAATCTAGTTATATTAGAAACGATTATCTGGACAATAATTACTCCCATAGACCTAATGTTATTAAATTTTTGGAACTAATGTCAACCCAAAACGAAAAAATTCTAGAAAAAATGTATGCTTCTTGAATTATTATGGAAAATTCTGTTGTAGTATTGCATGTGTACCTCTGACTATTGTTTATAAAGTATACATGTATCAGTTGCTAATATTTTATCTCAATGCATAAATAAAGAAACAAAATCATTAATTCGCTATTTCGTTCTATTTCTTCTCTTTTTAATACAAATATAATTTCTGGATCTGCAGCCACTGTTGAAGTCTCTAAAGTCCGCGACAGCAGGCAGAAAACGTGCAAAGTTGGAATTCACTTTCTAGAATTTGAAATACTTATTAATAAAGAAAAAGGTGGTTATTTGGTCTAGAGGTCAAACCCTCGCTAAACACAGTTAGTAGATTCGTATTAGAATTTGAGGTGTTTGGTGATATACAGGCTTAAATTATTCAATAAAAGTTTATTTTGCGGCCGAATCAAGTTACACGGACACATGGGTACAGTTTTGTCAGTTCCGCTTGCAATGATTCTGATCATAATACTTATGTATAAATATATGTATTAGTATCTTTCATTTGCTTTCATTAAGTTCCAGTTGTTATGCTTTCACAGTATGCCTCAAGCACGATATTATGTGAAAAATAAAAAAAAAAAGAAAAAGAAAAAAAAAAAGAAAGAAAGAAAAAGAAAAAGGGGGAGGGGGTGTTTAGCTTAATTACATGTAGCATTTTTTTTTTTACTTTTAAACTCATCGAGTTTCACAGTCTTTGGAATAAAAAATGATAGTTATGTATATTCCATTTTTGCAAATTCTGCTGTTTTGCACGTCCGTTTTATCACAGAATAATTATATAATTAATTAAGTGCTCTATTTTCGTTTCACGTTTTGCACAGGTTTCAATATACAAACGGATATCCAAGTAGAAGAACACACGGAAGGGAACAACCATTTTATTATTATTATGAAGTTTAATAAGTTATAATTGATCATTGTAAGCTGTTTTCATGTTTTTTTCATTGTTTACGTTTTCGATACTTTACGCTTGATCGATATATAAAAATAGACTCGGATTTTAGTTTGAACTATATTTAGATCTCTAAAATCCACACGACGTTCCTCATTGGTTTATCGGCTTCTGCAAAGAAAATCAGCTCCAAGATTCAAAACTTTAATGTTTTCCAGACTGTATCTGTATAAAAATTAACCAAAAAGTTAAAATGGAATCAAAGAAAGATGTGCGAATCCGAGAGAAACATTATGAAGCGAGGATTAATCGCTGTTATGATATTAATTTTACTTGGTGTGTTCTTAGGTATCTCACTAACCAATCTGAGCATAAAAAGTATGTAATGTTACATACATTTGCATGCAGACTCGACGTATCTACATTCTTTTTTTCCTTTTCTTTCTTTCCTTTTTTTTTTTAACAATTTTTGTTTTCATTCTTTTCTTCAATTTTTAGTATTATCTATTTACTTTAATTAATTTATTTGTTATTTATCTATTTATTTCATAATTTTATTTTTCTTTGGGATGGAGGTGGTGTGTTTCCGTTAATTGATTACGTTGCTTTATTTCATATCAGTTTAAATACTTGTCATATATTGGTCTAATTTATTTTTATTCCATTTTTTTTTTTGAGCATTTATTCTTAGAATTTTAATTGTCTCCGTTTAATGGATAGTTACAATATTTCTTGATAATTGTGTAATGTTAATTAAATTAAATAAATTTCAAAGAAAATCAATCATTTACTTGTTAAAATATGAAACTTCCTATATGTATCAACCCCCCCCCCCCTTCCCCAAATCAATTAAACGAAAATTAAGACAGCTGTAAACACACAAAATAAATAAAATAAATAATAACATTTTAAGAAAGCATAAATATACCCATATCTTCCTTTCCAGCAATAATAAATATAACATTAGTGTATTAAAAAATATTTTTACTGGGTTTTCATTAACGTGGTTCTCCTTTTGCTTTCACAGAAAACAAATCACAGATCGAAGCGGCACCGCTTGCTGGGGCAGAAAAACCCGCCAGATGGACAAATCCTTGTAATGCGACTAGAAAACTCAGTTCAACGGATTTAACGATTCCAGTGATTTCAGATTTTGAAAAAATTCAGAATATTAACGAAAAACTGATTGATCTACGGGATATATCAAAAGCCTTGCGGGATAGACTGGTAATTCTCTTCCAAACTCTTTTTAATATTTTTTTTATTTTAATTTATTTATTTTTGATATAATACGTAGATTTTAGAGTTAATTGTTCTTGTTTTTTTCTTCTTCCTTTTTCTGATTGAATGATATCAGATATTTAGAGCTTTTTTTTTATCCCGTCCCACACAAGGTTCTCGGAATTTCATATACATTAAATGCAATCATTTGTTTATTCCGACTCAAATATCATTCAATACGGATACCTTGAGTTTACATTCATTCGCTGCACTTATTTTTCTTTAGCAAAGTATTGGTAATCTATTTTTTTTTCTATGTGTATAAAGAGTTTCATCGTATTAAAAAAAACAAATTGTTCAAAATCTACCGAGGATAATATTTTATTCGTTTTATGGTTTTTCTCTCTTTTCCCCCAGACACCCGTTTTTCAATATTAATATCATTAATGTTTTTCCTGCTTCGGTCGATAAAGACTTGTTGCTGAAAAAATTGTCTTATTTTTACGATAATCTTTACACCACGTAAATCTTTACACCACGTAAAAAAATTCCTGCTTAGACGCGTTCATTTATAATTCATGATATCGATCAAATGCTCTCAGTTGGACATTTCAGAAAAACCCAAATAAAACAAGATATACATTGTGTATACAATGTACAGATTTCTTGCTTTTAAGGACAGATGATACAAACTTTTATCTAAAACCGATGTGCAAATAACGATTTTACTCATGTTTATTTAAGTAAAATGAATAAGTTTAACCGCATAATTATATTTTAATTTTTTATTCAAAGTTTCACATTAATGTGATTTTAGGTGACAAAAAAATTGTATAGATCAATAAGGAGGGTTGCAGAAAAGTATAGAATTTTGAACATCATAGAAAGTTCACAAATTAAATATTTTAGAAATTTATTATTTGCATGATTTACTATCAAAATAGGTCCAAAAATATATCCCAATCCAGGCATCCATTTTTTTTTTTTTTTTTGGTATCATATGTCCTGTTTGATTTTCAACTTGTAGAAACACAAGCTTAATATTTATAATCATGCGCTCTAAACTCTACCGACACAACTTAATCTTGAAATAATTCAAGGCCTGTAAATGATGCAATATAAAACAGGGTGCATGAACTCGCAAAATTATTACATTTGTTATTTTTCAAGTAACTGAATTGAACTGTTCTTTATGTTAAAAATTCGGACATCGAAAATGTTCTGACTTTTGATGTCATTTATTTATTAAGTAGATCTTTTTTGACATTCCTTTTGTTTTCCAGGCAAAGGAGCGAATAAAGAATGAAGTACTTGTGCAAGCTCTCCAGTCTCAACATATAGACGGATTTCCCAACATAAATGTATCCCAACAGGATCTCGAAGAGTACACGAAAAATGTAATTATTCTCTAGTAATTAAGCTAATGAAAAGAAAACATTATATTATTATATTTTGAACGCAATTTTTGAAGAAAATGTAAGGAGTGCAAATTTTAGTTCTTGACCACACCACGTCGCAAAAATCTATCATAATTTGAAAATAAAAGTATTGCTTGTAATATGTGTTCATATTTCTGATTCGTTGGATTTATTTTCGACAGGTGACATTAGCCTATGTACGGACCTATAGGGATTTATCAGTAGTTGCAATATTCATGGAGGCCAGCTTAGAAGACGAAGAAAAATATGAATATGGAAGTTGGTCCCCTGAATTCAAAAACAAAGAAGACAGTCTCTACAAACTACTCTGCGAAGTGCATAATGCTATCACTGACAATGGAGCCGCCATTGAGTACCAGTCACGTGACATTATGCCATCGAGCATGCTCAGTGTATCTGATCGCTCTTTGAGACAGATGCGTGATTATGTCATCACCAGAGATTGTGCCACACTGTGCCAAAGTTTCTTGGACATGAACGAAGTGCTAGTAAAGTCCATGAACAGTTCCTAGTGCTAGTCATTCCGTGTTCAGATTTACAGAGGCAGCAATTTTATTATTTCGTTTCTGATAAAAAATTCTTTTCCAAAAAGTTTTTTCAGTTTCATACATGCACATTTTTTAAGTTTCTATTTTTCAATTGTCATTTAAGTACTTGTTTTATTTTTCATTATTGTTGATGATTGTTTAGCAACAAATCTTGCCTCATTTCAGGGAGGACATGATTAATGTCTTTACAATTTTTACAGCTGTTTTGAGTATCATATCATCCATTCCATGATCTCGTTTTGCTTCAGTTTAATTCGTGCTCAATTTCTTGTGAAAATGAAAATCATTTATGTTCAATTATTTTTTTCACTGCCAGGCTTGGATAGTCCAATTTTTTACCAACTGTATTCAAGCATATATTCATGTACAAATGACGGTGTGAATGTAATTTATTGAAGGTTTGCAAGTTGTCAGAATTATCCCACCCTACAGATACTGAAGCTATATGATTTGTGTTGTTATAAAATATATATTTAATGGGTTTTTTTTTCTTCTTCCTTACAATTGCATTTTTGATTGTTCATTATGGAAAAGCCTTGGATGGGATCAAAACCATCACAAAGCCTGTCCTATTTATCTGTACTTCTGAAATCTCATGTTCCGTGTTGATCTGAAATTTAGATTTTGTGTTGAACCTTTTGATTATAATAAACAAACCCAAAATTCTGACCCCATACTCAAGGAATAAAACATCAAGTGTTTAAATTTTTTATGCTCTACTAATTTGATCAACCAATTCTTTATTTTAACTGATTTTATCTTCAAATTTTTAGTTATTAGTTCATTAAATAAAAGAAAATAGTTCAAGTGAAATTATATATATGTATACCCTTGTTATGAAAATGTGATTCTCAGTATGTATTAAATAAATGTATTTTTGTTTATGTATTTTCCAAATTTTGCATGTACTTTTGTATTTTTACATTGAATAACATTCCTGTGATAAATTGAATAAATATTGAAACTGGATACTTTTTTTGATTTTACAATGTCATACTCACATTTCTAAGTGATGGGGAAGGTTAATGGCCTTACATCTTGTACTGACCCCAGAATTGATTTGTTGACTTGATTTTGGAAAGACAATTGCAGAATAGAAACGTGGCTACGTGTATATCCTTACTATATATGACATTATATATAACGATAGTGGGCCATATTTACACACCTAGAATTCATACCCCCCCCTTCCCCACTCCCCCTCAGACAAAGTACTCTGGTAACAGAAATCTGTAGCCCAATTGAACATCAAAAAAATTCATAAATGTTTAATTTGGTATGAAAGTAATTTTTATTTATTTAAATGCTGATTTACAGTCACAGAATTGTAACTATACAGTTAAACATGGTTACAGCTACCACTCTTATAATGAATTCATGCTTATAGTGAAGTGACTTTCACTCTCTGTAGTATTAAAACATATTATGAATGTATTTGATGTAGCTCGTTATGTTTATAATGAATCAAAATTGTTTGCCACAGGCACTTTGTTACAAGGATGTTTTACTGTATAAAACAGTTGTGTTTAATTAATTGATTATGGTTTAAACATAAATTAATACATAAATAAATATGAGGTATTGTGAGGTTTACAGTGGTCATAAAGGGACTAACAATACATAACATAGATAAAAAAAAAAAGAATCATAAAAGTTAACTTTAAATATAAAATTATATGGAGAGAAAATAACAGTATAGCAAAATATAAAAACTGATGCAGAAATAACTCTATACACGGCTGTTCAGAATAAAAAGAATAGATTTGGAAATGTATAAATAAATATGCCATGCAAATAACCTTAAGTAAATGTATGTTTTACTTAAAGAATTAAAAAGCTTATTGTGGTAATAAATTGTTACTTAAAAAAACCCCCAAACTTTTAAATACATGTACTACTATTACTACAACAAAAAGAAATGTGTTTGTTCCATTTGAAATAAAAGGAAGATTGTCCATTGCACAATATATGGTAAATCAAAAGATAAACTTGAATTTGAAGTTAGTTTGCAATTTAACAAACAAACATGTTCTACTGTTTGAAATTTAACAAACAAACGCATGTTCTACTGTTTGATCAACATGTACTGTATGTAAATAAATGTAAATACATGTACTTAAAAATTCTTGACAAAAAATGGGACTAAGTTTACATGTTTACACATGATGATTCACTGGTATTCCAATGATAAAATGATGTAAAAATGGCATATTCAATAAATTTCACTTCTGTAAACATTCTCAGAAATGTTCTCAAAAGTCACAATAAACAACTAAAATCATTCAAAATACAGTCAAACCTCGTTGTCTCTAACTCGATGGGACCAAAAATTTAAGATATCCAAAGATTCTAGATATTTAGGTTAAAATAGAGAGAAAAATGAGATGTTTGTGAAACACTTATCCCCCCCCCCCCCCCCCCCTGGACATACATTATAGGGTGCACAAGCCTTTATTATGGGCAGTATACATTATGGGCAGTGTACTTGGAAATGAAATTGACCTTTTGAACTTAAAATCAATAGGGGTCATCTACCGGTACTATCTGAGGTGCATCAATCAGAAATACTTCTACATCTCATCTTTGGCAAAAACGTTTCTCATAGCATATCAGTAATTAATTTGTTCAACCTTTGCAGAGATAATAAATAAAGTAAATAATTGGAATTTTTTCTAAAGTCCAAGGGGCATAACTCTATCAAAATTTGCTCGATCATATTGAAAAACAAAACCTGACCTAGATATTCTTATAATAAATCTGTATACCTAATTTCATTTCAGTAGGTGCAACCTCTGCGAAGAAAATGAACGCACACTGTTGGTGGACCAACTGACCGACAGACAGCAGCAAAGCAATATGCCCTTCCTTCTTCGAAGGGGGGCATAAAAATGCTTGGGACTTCCAACTCAGTTTGTGATATCAATGCTAGAGATACCAAGATCGACTGTAATTCTGTTTATCCAAATTTAAGTTGAGAATTATTTACATTAAATGAAATCAAATATCCACACTTCAAATGTAAATAGTTAAATGAAATGAAAATCTCACCAATGATTGGTTCAAAACTTGACATATAAAATAAGCATAACAAGGCAATGTTTGGTTAAAAAAGAAAATGCAAGAAATCTCAATCAAGGATAAAATCTCAATCTTGGAAAATATTATGTATAATATACAATGCTATTAATTCGTGTAAATAGACAATGCAACCCGCTACATGTATGTGTATGTGTCTGCAATGCTACAAGGTGATATTTACCTAAAAGCCTTCAGTTTGAAAATAATGTTAATTAACATTCAATTGAATAAAAAGGTATAGCACATTAAAAGAGAGAACAATTCTAGAAAGAAAAAAAGTCACTCTCTACCATGTCCCATAATTTCAAAAGTATAAATTCAATGTAATACATGTACCAGGATTCATATTTTTAAACATAGCCAAATTTATGTTTTATTGGAGATTCAGAATCGATTACCTAATAGAAATTCTTAACAATGGAAAATCAGAAGTTTGCTTTCATTAGTTTAATGCCTTTTAGCATGTTGAACCTCAGTTCCCCTCAGTTAGGTGACACTTTTGTCCTATGTCTAGTTGCGGTGAAGGTGGAAGTTAGCTGCCTTATCTCCGGCCGCGATGCGGATTACTTTCTGTGGTTGCTGGGCCTCGGATTGTAAATACTGGTTAAGATCCACTCCAAGCTTGCGTAGTTCACCTATGTGCTGGAGGAATACTTTATCATCCTCCTTCTTTGCCTGACAACAGAAATATATCCAACATTTTTTACATACTTATCACAGAGTCAAACCTTTTAATCTCAAACTCAATGGGGCTGAGAAAAAACTTTGAGATCCTCCAACTCACTTTAACATATCCATGATTTTCAAGATATCAATGTTCAAGATACTGAAGTTCAAATGAACTTTAAAATTTATTTTTTGAACACTGGATGATAACCAGGTATATGTAATGTTTAGTTTCCAAAAACAACAGTGAAGAGTTGTCAATGGTTAGACTACCAATTTACTTAGCAATGTTTGATTTTGGTGCTATACATAGATTTTAACTTGATGCTATGATGTTTTATGATCCTGAGGCTAGTTAAGACTTTTAACTCCCTTTACCTCCAGAGCAGCCATCTTTTCTTCTGTCCATCGGTCCCTCTTTTTTTCCTCCTCCTGGATCCTCAGACCAAGTCTGTGTTCTACTGCTGCCCTGCAAAGAATAAAATACATGTTGTCTAGAAGTTACTGCAACAGCTTAATGAAACAGGTATTATTGTGTTCATTCTACACCTGATGAAAAAACATTTTTAGCTCACCTGAAGCAGAGGTTCAAGTGAGCTTTTCTGACCAAAATTTGTCTATTGTCATGATGGGCAACATCCTCTTTCAAGGGGAGATAATTATGAATAAGTGAAAATTTAATGGCATCTTTCAGAAATTTTTCTTTTCAAGAACCAGTGGGCCAGAAATTATGTGAACACTTCATTACATAGTGTAGATTTAAGCCACAATGGGTGATCAAAGTTTTACATAGGAATATATAGGTATAAAAAATATGCTGATATAGAACAGCAAGACATAGAGACTCAGGTGAGCAATGTGGCCCAAGGGCCTCTATTTGAGATTTCAGAATTTCAGACGAAAGTATACAAAATTAATAGCAAGTTATTGTTATAATGTCCAAAAACAAATGTGACTTACTTTTCCATATTCTGCTTGTGATTTAAACTTTCAATTTCCATTGTTTGTTCTACAAAGAGAGAAATAGAAAAAAAGTTACAAGACCAGTTTCCTTCTCCGTAATTATCAACAAAAATATTGCAAATAATATTCATCCTTTTACATTAATTTGACAGTTTGAAGTTTATAAAACACTCATTCTAGATTTACAAGTTAACATAAAAAAATAAATTTAATATCTATCATGAATATTAATAAAATACCCAGATTGAGGCGATCTCTGTCATTCTTGAGCTTGAGATCTGTCATGTTCTGTTGTTGCTCTTCCTTTTCATACTAAAATATAGGTACAAATGTTGATCTTACTACATTAACAAGAGGCCCATGGGCCACATCGCTCACCTGAGTAACTTTGGCCATGCTATTCATTACCAGACTTCCCCCCTTGTAATACCTATTGTTGCCCCACCCTACCCCCAGGGGCCATGATTTGAAAAATTTAGAATCTACACTACCCCAGGATGCTTCCACATAAGTTTCAGTTTTTCTGGTCCAGTGGTTCTTGAGAAGATTTTTCCTATATATTTCAATGTAAAACTTGGGATTCCCTATTGTGCCCCCCCCCCCCATCCCCGGGGTCATGATTTGAACAATTTAGAGTGTACACTACTTGAGGATGCTTCCACATAAGTTTCAGCTTTTCTGGCTCAGTGGTTCTTGAAAAGAAGATTTCTAAAGATTTTTCCTATATATTTCAATGTAAAACTTGGATTCCCTATTGTGGCCTCGCCCTACCCCTGGGGGTCATGATTTTAACAATTTAGAATCTACACTACCCCAGGATGCTTTCACATAAGTTTCAGTTTTTCTGGCTAAGTGGTTCTTGAGAAGAAGATTTTTAAAGATTTTTCCTATATATTTCAATGTAAAACTTGGATTCCCTATTGTGGCCTCGCCCTACCCCCGGGGGTCATGATTTGAATAATTTAGAATCTACACTACCCCAGGATGCTTCCACATAAGTTTCAGTTTTTCTGGTCCAGTGGTTCTTGAGAAAAGATTTTTAAAGATTTTTCCTATATATTTCAATGTAAAACTTGTATTCCCTATTGTGGCCCCGCCCTACCCCCGGGGGCCATGATTTGAACAATTTAGAATCTACATTACCCCAGGATGTTTCCACATAAGTTTCAGTTTTTCTGGCTCAGTGGTTCTTGAGAAGAAGATTTTTCAAGATTTTTCCTATATATTTCAATGTAAAACTTGTATTCCCTACTGTGGCCCCGCCCTACCCCCGGGGGCCATGATTTGAACAATTTAGAATCTACATTACCCCAGGATGCTTCCATATAAGTTTCAGCTTTTCTGGCTAAGTGGTTCTTGAGAAGAAGATTTTTAAAGATTTCTCCTATATATTTCAATGTAAAACTTGTATTCCCTATTGTGGCCCCGCCCTACCCCGGGGGTCATGATTTGAACAATTTAGAATCTACACTACCCCAGGATGCTTCCACATAAGTTTCAGCTTTTCTGGCCCAGTGGTTCTTGAGAAGAAGATTTTTAAAGATTTCTCCTATATATTTCAATGTAAAACTTGGATTCCCTATTGTGGCCCCGCCCTACCCCCGGGGGTCATGATTTGAATAATTTAGAATCTACACTATCCCAGGATGCTTCCACATAAGTTTCAGCTTTTCTGGCCCAGTGGTTCTTGAGAAGAAGATTTTTTTATGACCCCACCCTATTTTTGTCTTTTCTTGATTATCTCCCCTTGTAAGTGGACTTGGCCCTTTATTTTAACAATTTAAACTCCCCTTCCCCCAAGGATACTTTGTACCAAGTTTGGTTAAAATTGGCCCAGTGGTTCTTGAGAAGAAGTTGAAAATGTGAAAAGTTTACAGACGGACGGACGACGGACAACGGGTGATCAGAAAAGCTCACTTGAGCTTTCAGCTCAGGTGAGCTAAAAATGAGATATGGTTTAGCAATGCAAAAGCAAACAGTTCTTTGGATTCTAACATTTGAAGAGAACATGAAACAAGCATAGTGATGCACTGTTTATCACTCTATCACTTGTATTTACAGTAAAAGAAATTATGTTTCTTGGAATTTGCATTTATGGCAGATTAAATACATGTACAAGTATCCTAAATGTAGATTTAGTATTAAATACTTATACTGTATACAGGGAAATTTTTGCCCCCGTTTTATTTTCGCCCCGTTGGTCCTACTCACAGGCGGGTGAATTTAAAATGGGTCACATTCAAAAAACACATTATAATTTCTTGAACAGAATTGTGACTTGGTGAATTTAAAACTAAGCAAAATTGTTTGCAAGTGTGAAAGGGCGAAAATAACACGGGGCGAAAATAACCCTGTATACAGTAATACATCTACATACAGCAAGTTTAAGCCTTGTGCGGGTCTGGGTTGCTGTATCATGAATGCGCTGCAGTTCTGGGTGAGCGTGGTACCCACGATACACCATTTTTGAAATTTCGTATCCGATCTTTTTGCTGCGTTCCCTGAGTTGAGGGTAATTAGCAAGGTCGTTAAGTTCTGATGAATTCTCCATGAATTCAATATAGCTGCAAGTAAAAATAAAATTATCAATAATGCTTTGATGTGATATAATTTTCATTTCTTTACCAAACAGAAAAGGGAGGGATTGCATGAAATGTTTGATTAATAAATAAATAATTTATAATTGTTTTGCATCTGATTTCTTTCTCAAGTATTTATATTTGCATATCAGAGTTAAGAGAGATGTTTATGAAAATTATTTTCCTTGTCACATGAGCTACTATATCTGCTCTCTTCTACAAAAGATTTTCTGATAAGGGAATTAATTAGAAAAAACATAGGTAATCAGAGATTACAGAGCTCACCTAAACGAATGTTGTCTTTAAGTAAGGCAAAGTCCCACACTAAACTAATAATCTAGGAGTGTGCATCCTTAGATGCAACATTTATGCAATTTTGGTCTGATAGGGCTTGCAGTTACTTAGGAATATACTTATCTGAAAACTTAAAACTAGTCACTCATCCAGAAAATATAAGTCAAATCCAGCATCCCAAGCAAGTTTTGAGATTGTTCATCCCTTGATACATCATCCATGCAAGTTTGGTTCAGATAGGCCTTATAGTTACTTGGAAATGAGATCTGCTCCAAAAACTTTAACCTGGTTACTCATCCGGAAAATGTAGGTCAGATCCAGCATCCGCAGCAAGTCCAGTAGTGTGAATCCTTAGATGTATCATCCATGCAAGTTTGGTCAATATAGGGTTTATAGTTACTTGGAAATGACATCTGCTCCAAAAACTTTAACCTGGTAACTCATCTGGAAAATTTAGGTCAGATCCAGCATCCAAAGAAAGTCCAGTAGTATGCATCCTTAGATGTATCATCCATGCAAGTTTAGTCAATATAGGGCTTATAGTTACTTGGAAATGAGATCTGCTCCAAAAACTTTAACCTGGTTACTCATCCGGAAAATATAGGTCAGATCCAGCATCCGAAGCAAGTCCAGTAGTGTACATCCTTAGATGTATCATCCATGCAAGTTTAGTCAATATAGGGTTTATAGATACTTGGAAATGACATCTGCTACAAAAACTTTAGCCTGGTCACTCATCCGGAAAATATAGGTCAGATCCAGCATCCGAAGCAAGTCCAGTAGTGTACATCCTTAGATGTATCATCCATGAAAGTTTGGTCAATATAGGGCTTATAGTTACTTGGAAATGAGATCTGCTCCAAAAACTTTAACCTAGTCACTCATCCGGAAAATGTAGGTCAGATCCAGCATCCGAAGCAAGTTCAGTAGTGTGCATCCTTAGATGTATCATCCATGCAAGTTTGGTCAATATAGGGCTTATAGTTTAACTTGGAAATGAGACCTGCTCCAAGAACTTTAACCTGCTCCAAAAACATTAACCTGGTCATTCTTTAGCTGAAATTGCAGCATCTGAAACCTTGACTGGTACAATGAAACACACTAGAAGCATCCTCCATGCAACTCTGACTAATATAGGCCATAGAAGTACATGTACTTGAAAAGAAAACTGCTCCAAAATCCTTAACCTGGGACGCTGACGCTGAGGGTATTACATAAGCTCCCCCAACTTCATTGAGGTGAGCTAAAAAGGCCTAATCCATAGGTAGATGCAAGATTTTCAAAATAATAAAATACATGACTGTATAAATGTTTCTATTCCTGGTTTTTACCTGTGTTTGGCAGCAAAGGCGACAACATCAGCACACACACAGCTGCAAAAATCAGAAAGTAAATAAACCAGAGTCATATGATAATTTTGATTTTCAATCAAAAATATCCCCCAGTCATTTTAAATATTGATTTTGAAACAAATATAGTTGTGGTTTGAGGGGGGAAGGGGGAGGGGTTCATGAATATTTGAATATTGAGTTTGAAGCCAATATGGTTGTGGTTTGAGTGGTCAATGGAGAAAGGGGGGGGGGGTCAGGAAATTTTTTTATAAGCTTAATTAATTATATTCTTTTATGCCTAAAAGAAGGAATTTTAGAACCACATACATGTACTTCAAATGTTACAATACATCAATGTAATCTGTTTTGTATACACAATACATTGTACATGTACATATATTAATATATGTTTCAGTATTTGTATTCATTCATATGTTTATAATTTGTTATTCACTGCTCAGACTGAACAAGAACTGACAGACTTTCTCTTCATGTAACATACATATGTGAAAAATTCAGAAAAATACCTTTACATGTACAATCTCTTCTTACTATGTACACTACATCCACAAACATAGATTTGTGGCTAATGTAACAATATGTTATTAAAGATTTATGGAAACAAATTGAAATGAAAAACACTTTAAAAGATAAAGAAATACATACTTGACAATATCTGCTATTGGGTCTTTAGTGGCATTCAGCTGAAATAATTACATGTATTAGCACATTTAACTATTCACCCAGAAGATAGTTTTTTAATGGTAAAAAATTAAGCTAAGAGCCTTTTTTGATGAATCTCTGTGGTTTTCTACCTACCAATTTTACATACTTTATATACAAGTAATTAAAATCAAATTTGAAAATTCATTCAATATTTTGAACACACAACATCACAATTTTTAACTGCATTTTAAATTCTATTGTGCCACATGAAAGGCCAATTTGGGCCTTATTTTACTTGTTCTTTAATTTAGTTTTATTTGTCAGTCATCAATACATGTAAATGTATATAACTCACCATGGTCTCTATGTCTTTTAACTCATAAAATACCATTAGCTTAACTCTGATTGGGGCATCATCTTTTGTTCGCACTTCATCAACCTGGGGAAAAGGTACCAGGACATTGTTTATCATAACATATCAAAATTTTATTATGAAAATTGATTTTTTTTAACTTTATTCCTTACAATGCAGCTAAATAAATTGACTTTTTGACTTAATCTTTGGAGTACACAATCCACTTCCTGTGGGATTTTTTTGTTTGTTTGTTTGTCTGTTTTTTTTTTTTTGTTCGGGGGGGGGGGGGGGGGGGGGGGGATACAGTACTATACAACTATCTTATGGGGTACTCTAAACCAAATCATAGTTTGAGAAATTCATTGTTACTGGTCTGACATGTGGAAATATGAAATGAAACAAATCATAGCATACAGTTTCTTCTTAAACATTGCACTTCATGTAGCTGAACAAACTGTATGCAGATAATATTTTCAATTTGAAAATAATTTACAATTTGGAATAATATCAGAGACTTCTCAGTGTAGTAGACTTACATTGTAGTAGAACTGGCCGGGAATGATCTGAAGTTTCTGGAACTGGTGAGCATTAGGGATTAACTGTGTCTTGTTTTCTGGGTCTGTGCCATGCCAGCTAAAGGAATGGAACCTGAAATTTCAATAATTGATAGAAATTATGACAACATTCCATAGGTTAATGAAATATTCTCCACAACCACCAATATATTATGTACTTACAAAACATCATAGGATCAAAATTTAAAATCAACAACAGAGTACTTTGCAACCAATCATTCAATACTACAAACAGAAAAAAATCTACATTTTGTTTTATATACAAAAAAAAGTATCAATTCTTGTTACCATTCATTAGCCTGAGGCATAACAAGGGTGGGGCCATACTGAACGTATCTGGTCACATTCTTTGTCTCGGAATCTTCCCTGTATATAACCAATGCTTCATTGGCATCCAAAGATATCATGTCACGAATCTCAATCTTATAATGCTCAAGGGGATTTGTAAACATAACACATGGTCTGAAATAAAAAAAAACAAACAAACAAATGTACTGTATATAGATTACAGATTCATAATATATCCCATACTTTGTCTCAGCATTTATTGGTAATTTTTTTAAAAGTTAGATATACATAACCATTTTTTATTCAACTGTTGGATTGAATGTCTATAGAATAATCTTAAATTATGAGGCAATGTTTTACCCTTTTCTATGCTCAACTCGCCCATCTTTGTACTGCACAACAAGATAGGAATTCTGGTTAGCTGCATTTCGTTTTAAAACTTCATAGCGTTCACGCCAAAGAAACATCTGGAAAAAATTTCATTATTCTAATAAAATATTACACATGAATTTACTGCACTTTTTAAAGTTCATATTATGGAGTGAAAACAAAGAAGCTTTATCAGAAGACTGAATGAATATAAATTTTAAAATTAACTATCAAAGGTATTTCTCTTTCCTGCAGATTTTTTTATTCAATCACTGCATATCATGAACTAGGATATAAGACAAGAAGCCCATGGGCCACAATGCTCACCTGAGTCACCATTGCCCTTCTCTTCATCAGCAGTTTTTTCCCCTACATATGCCTATATAAAACTTTGATCACCCACTGTGGCCCTTCTTTACCCCCTGGGGCCATGATTTGAACAAACTTGAATCTATACTACCTGAAGATGCTTCCATATCAATATGACTAATTATGGCTTTGCTGTTGTTGAGAAGATTTTTAAAGATTTTTCCTATGTAAAAATTTGAAACCCCATTGTGGCCCCTCCTTACCCCAGAGATTTTGATTTGAACAAACTTGTCTCTTCACCATGTCAGGAAGCTGTTATATAAGTTTCACCTTTCCTGCAACAGTGGGTTCTTTTTAAATGACTCCACCCAAATTTCACTATTTCTTAATTATCTCCCCTTGGAAGAAGGTGTGGCCCTTCACCTGAATAAACTTGAATCCCTTTAACACAAGGATACTCTGTGCAAAGTTTGGCTGAAATCGGCCCAGAGTTCTTGAGAAGAAGATGAAAATGTGAAAAGTTTACAACTACAATGTCAAAGACAGACAATTGAAAAATTTGGATCAAAATAGCTCACATGAGACTTCGACTAAGGTGAGCTAAACACACCACACACAACACAATTTAAGGGCTGATTTCAATCAGTCTGCTAGTACAAAAATGAAAAAAAATAACTTGCCCGTTGTGGTCCATTTTCTGTCCGTGCTACTCCTTCATGATTGTAGACCAATGCCTAAGGAAAATATAATGAAAATAATTGTTAACTTTTCATTCCCATAACAGAAATTAATATATATGCTTTGGAAAAAACTAGGACAGACATTTACTTGAGGTTTGGGTCAAATAAAAAAAAAAAAAATAAATGAATAAATAAATAATAGAGTCATTAAAAAGATTACTTTAAAACTTTTGTTGGTTATCATGGTTATTGACAGTTGTCAAGTTGGTAATCTTAAATCTGTATATTCAATATGAGTAATGTACATGTAGCTAAATTCGACCATTGCAATTGCCTATATTATGTGCTGCAACTAGTTTCAGTTTTCAATATAGCATGTATGAATTTCGCACTAAACATAAAATATTGAAAATATTTTAGGATACAAGTGAATGATAACCCCTAGGCATGCTAAGCCTTTGCATTTTATGAAGTGTAAGCTTTTGATTCCATCCATAGAGATGTAAAAAATAGGTGTGAAATAAGGCTGTAACATGTTTGATTTTTATTTCTGAGAGCCATGGGCTGGATAATGAGGAGGTCAGTGAAGAATGGAGAGACTGGGACATGATGATATTTTAACAATAAATTGGATGTTTTTAGATTTTGCAGATGATTTCACATTCTTATCATCAACAAAACAACACATACAAAGGATAACAACAAATATGTTCAAAGAAGTAGGGAGAATGGGACTCAAAGTTAAAGTTGGGAAAACAGAAGAATTGAGAATAAATGCCAGAAACAAGGAGAACAAGATGTGTTTGTGAAACACCATGCCCCCGATGGTAACACAATTCTGGAGTGGGACGTAGACTACAGTGCAATAGTTATGGCCAATGTTAAAGTTTTTCAATTGTAGGTCAAAGGTCACAGTTGAGGTCACATGATCAAAAATTTCTGTACCAATGGAAACGTCTTGTCATAATGAACACTCATGTCAAATATTAAAGCTTTACCCTTGACAGCGCAATAGTTATGGGCTAGGTTAAAGTTGACAACAGACAGACAGACAAACAGAAAGACGTACAGGACAAAAACAATATACCCCCGGGATCTTTCGATCCTGGGAAAATAATATACAATAAGGAGAAGAAATAGAAGATGTAGACTCATATACATAATTAGGAGCTACAGAAACACCAGAGGGAGAGGGAATGGGAGTCATTAAATTTCAAACATACTCTCAAAACCAAGGAACACTTTACCAGATTAAAAAATAAATTAAAACTGTACAAAATGCTTGTACTATCAGTGCTCTTAAATGGAAGTCAAGTGAAACATGGAAAATAAACAAAGGAGACAACAAGATGATAGACACATTTTCAGAACAAATGCTTAATGAAGATAAAATGGAAAGATTCACTGAGAAGAGAAGAGCCTGTTAGAGAGAGCAAGGATGAGACCAATAAGTGAAAAAAGGAGAGGAGCGGATCGTCTCCCTTGGCTGGCGAAGATGGAAGGAAGCAGGGGAAGATAGAAGTTTATTGTAGATAGTTTTCATCTGACTGTATTTTCCCTGTGAGTTACTACCTTTGGCCACCATCTTGGAGGTCCAACTTGCGATTTTTTCCTCTTTGAGCAACCAATTTTAAACTTGTATGGTAGAAAAGGAAAAAAATCTTTAAAACACTAAAATTATGAATTAAAGAAAGGTTGTGTTAACATAAATTCGTAAGAAAAATTGTGTTATCTTAATTGCCCAGTATGACAAGTTTAAATTGGTTGAATAATGAAGGAATTCAGGCTTGTACACCTCCAACATGGCAACCGACGGGAAATAACTCTTGCTAAAATTGTGTCTATCAAAAACTATCTTTTGCACATTTACTAAGATAAGATCCTACCACTGACTTATAACATCGTGCTAACATGGGCACCAGAAGAAAGAAGAAAGCATGGGTGAACAACATGACACCAAACAGTAGAAAGGGAGGAAAAGACGTTGGATGTTAATCCTGGAATGGAGCAAGAACAGCAGCATCCACTAGAAATGAGACAATGAGTGATGATCTGTGGAGGCCCTATGTGTTACCTGCAGGCATGAGAAGGATAGGCTACAACATAAAGCAGAAACTGTCCCAATCTAGGCTATTCTGCTTAACTTGGTTAGCTATTATAAATGCATTCCTTTAATAAATGACTTATGAGCATGATATTTTTAGTAATTTTTGAACATTTACTATTTAAACAAAGTTTAACTTTTTTGAGTATTAGTCAAATCTGACTTTTTCCCCCTTGAAAACAATTCACCAAATCTCTTTCAATAGTTGCCTTTTGACTTAAAGCTGAACACGACTCGTACATAGGCATACGCCATTTTCAATATTACTATCTACGATATCAGCACCATCGTATACTCTTCGCATTCGTTACACGTGACTGCTTTATTGTCATGGGTATCGGCGTCGAATGGCCACCCGTGTTCGTGATGGTTATCTTGCATTACCTTTGTTTACATTTTATAGCAGTTACTAGGGGTGAAACGATATGCCTTCTTCACGGTTCGATACGTATCGTAAAATTTGGTCTCGGTTCGGTTATTTTCGATACGATACATTTTGATAGAAGGAAACAAATTTACCTGTTGTTTTACATGTTTTATGCTTCCTTTTACTTGATCTAATCAAATAATTTATGTGCAAAATGGATAGAAGAAATCAATTTAATTGATTTGACTGTTAAAAATTATTTTACAAACTGTAAGTCCACAAAAATTTACGTTTTTTAACTAATTACACTGAGAAGCATGTTTATACCTTATGCCAAACCCGACTGAATGACGATCCCGACCGAAAAACAAACCGAACCGAAAATAGAGATTTTGTACCGTGTATCGAACCGAGAAAAAATACCGCGGTGAACCGTTTCACTCCTACCAGTTACGTGTATTTACAAGTGTTTGTTTGTATACTGCACTGACCTGTGCAACTGTTGTAAGTTTCTTGATATCTTTCTCTCTTACATTAGAATAGGTACACATTATATTTTGTTGCTACCGAGTGCTGTATAGCATACATCCTTTCTCCACCGATGACGATTGATTACACTGAACAGTGACCATGTCAGGGCCTTTATATAGGGACCCTCAGATAAAGCGAGAATCCAATTGAATATGGCTGACACATTCCTTTTTATGAATCGTGTTCACCTTTAATAGCGAGCGCAGCGGCGCAAAGCGCCACTCATCACTGTGAGCTCTAACGACAATGCCTGGGCAAAGAGAAAATTCGGACTACTGCACATTTATTCAATAGAATTTTTTTCCACAGTAACTCTGGACCCACAATGCATCACTAGTTGTTCTCGCTGTAACTTGGCCACGCAGTAACAACAACTAAAAATTCACAAAAAATAAACTCACCTTAATTTAATGGATATTGCATACAGATAGTAGATTAAACGTTCTTTGTTAAAATTTTTGCACTTTTCAAACTTCGTTTATGAAAATGCAGATGTATAACGACGTCATGTGACGTCACAGTCTAGACGTTCCAAATGTCTCGTGCGGTTTGAAGAGGCGGATTTTAAAATTAAGTGTACAATGCGCTCGCCCAACGGTCGCACCGTCAACATATTATTGTATTGTTCATAGTTGAATAGAAAATGAAATTCATCTTTATTTCTTAATTACAAATCGTTCATGTGTTGGTATAGACATGTGTTTACCCTTTTTTATGGAAAGATTAAATACCTATTAACATGATTAAGATTTCATAGGTGTGAACAATCGATATCTATTTCAGGGCTACTTATACATGTTATACAGTGTTATAGGCAGGTTATCAGGTTATATTATACTTACTTGGTCACCGACATCGAGGGTAACCCACCCGATCGTCATCGTGTGCAGAGTTTTACGTCCGAAATAAAACTTCTATCTGTCTCTTATTTCACCTGAAACTGCTTATAATATACGGTATTGTGTCATAAGATATTTTTAACCATAAAAATAGGTAAAAACGTCAAAACATCACGAACCGGATGTTGTTTTTTTTCCAAAGATTTTGGATAGCTTGAACATATATTAAGTTTGATAGTTTAAACCTGGAAGTATTCGTATAAGGGCAACGAAGCGCAAGTGGGGGAGGGTGTTAGGCTGGCGAGAAAAGCCTAGAAAACCTGGACACGCCAAAAAAATTTAAAAGGCAAACACAAAAAATAATAATGACAAAAAAAGAAAAGAAGTTTAGAGAAAAGAAAAACATAAAATTCTAAAAGAAAAAAAGAAGAAAAACAAAATTGCACAAAATGTTGAGGAGAAAGGGCAATCCATACTTTCATTTCCCGTCGATATATGGCTGAAATATTGCCAACTCGGCGTTAAACAATATCAATCAATCAATCGACAAAAAAAAAAAATCGCTGCACCAAAAATTAAGCGGATGAGGACCGGCCTTTCAATGAAAATATTCAAATCAAAAAGAAAAGTTCAAGATAACAATTTAAATAGAACAGTGATCAAACTCATAAATCCAGTACACAAAACGAATCGTGATCAGGGCAAAACACAGACCCCCTGAAAGCAAAAACTATTCTCGGGAAAATATGGGGACAGGTCCTGTGCTACTTGCCTATACTTACCTTTATTATAAAGGTATATTCTTTTGGGTGTAGATAAAGAAAAGTGTACATGTATTCATGATTATTCACCATTAAGAACAATTTTACATTGTGCCTGTATAAATAATGCTATCTATATAAAAACTTTAAAAATTATGGTTACCAAGACATTAAAGGGCTAGAAAAAATAGATTTTAAAAAAAAATATAGACACTGACGGATAAGAGAGAAAATTTTCGGCATGTCTTGTCAAATTCTGACTAATTTTGAGGTCAAAGGTCAAATGCTCAGTTCAGGGGAAAGGTTGAACATACATGTTCTCCTCCTGAACACCCCATAATGAATATACAGACCCATTTCAATAGCCCAGTGCTTGCTCTGTAAACAGATAGTTAAGATAACTAGAATTTTTAGATGGTTTTCTCTGTTACTCCTTCAATGGGTGTAACTTTTATGTTTAGACAATGAGGTAATTTGTCTCACCAGACGCCAATTTTTCTTCTTCTATCAAATACAAGAAACTACAGCACAAAAGAAAGGAAATAACGGCGAGTATATGAACTTAAAAAACAAATAAAACATAACATGATAATAAAAAAATAATAAAATGAAAAATAATTTTAAAAAAAAACCCATTAAGGCAATCAATCCATCTTCATTCATCTAACTTTCCGTATGTATGTTTAGCGCTGTATTTCTTCCCATTTCTTAAAAAAAAAGAAGATTAAAAAAACCTTTTGTCAAAATCTTATTTAAAATGCTCATAAAAAATGATAAAATCTTTAAAAAAAAAAACAACAACAACACACAAACAAAGAATCACTAAGTAAAAAGTATAAACTAAAGCTATCCTTTATTATGTCTAGTACACAATGCAGTCAGGATCTTTGATCAGCTGGTGATTTTGTACATGGCTCACATGTAGAGTCACGACAAAGACAGAACGCAGGTATGTTAAGGCAGTACCCAGATCATATTTCGGCAAAATTAGACTTTTTTCGTAAAATGTAACATTGATAAATCGGAAAAACCATAGATAAAACATTTACTATTATTATCCATTATATAGACGTCATTGCGTCTTAGGCTAAAAGAAGCACTCCACTGCGACGTCATCACGTGACGTCTATAAATAGAAAAAATGCCTTAATGTAAAAGTGAAAAGTTCAACACTACCCCGGTGATAATTCATTTCTTTTAGTGAAAATCATTATGTAAAAACATCACTGGGCTATGAAAAGTGCTGCTAGAATCCTACTCTCCTGACACAGAAAAAAATATTCCAAAGTTTCGCATGAAACCTTACCAAATTTTTTACATTTTATACATACGATCAAGGAATATTTATCAATTCATGTTAACCACACGATTCTAGCAGCACTTTCCAAGTACCATAGAATACAAGCTTTCGATACAAACAAAAATTATATTTCAAAGTATGCGGCGTAGTGTTGAACTTTTGCATCTTTGTTGTTATAGAACGACAGAGGAACGGCTGATCGGGATTTCCAAGCACTGACTGTGTTCATTATAAGAAAACATGATAAGAATATATCATCGTACCCGATTCTTAATCTTTAATTCCTTATGAATCACACATAACATTCACGGTATATGCCTTAAAACTCCCATTTCATATATTTGTTTACATGAATTCTCGTCACCATTAATTTCACTCGCAAGTAAAACATACCCGCGAAGGACACCATGTAAAGACGTTTATTTTTCTTCAAAGAAAATAGGTGAGGATGTTCTGGGATTAAGGTTCATTGACCATCTAATAAGAAAGATAACTCCAAAACAGGGATAAAGTTAAAAGGTCATTTTCATCATATTTTTTCCCACAGGCACTTGTTTCGTAAATGGGGTCATCCCCTTCTTCTTCTTCTTTCCAGTGGAAAGAAAAAGGGGTGACACCATATACGAAAAGATGTCTTTGTTTTTTTTTCCGCCCGCAATTGTTATGTAGATTTTTTTTTGCAATGGTTGCAACTGTTAAATTTGCGTACAAAGAAAGAAGTTTTATTGTTTATATTTCTCTCTCTCTCTATTTATATACGTACAATATATATATATCATGGCCGTATAGGAACCCCAATAATTTTGCCGATATATAGATTACTATAGAAAACATAGCTACTATATGTTCGTGCCCCCTCAATAAAAACGTCTGATGACCTTTTTTTTTTTTTTTTTTTTTTTTTTTTTTTTTTTTTTGCTTGTCAAGGAAATTTTGGTTGATAGTGCCCCCTCAACTGAAAATGTATGGCTGTGCCCCCCCAAACTGAAATTGCTTCCTACGGGCCTATATATATATATATATATATATATATATATATATATATATATATATATATATATATATATATATATATATATATATATATATATATATATATATATATCATGTATAAAAAACCGGTTCTAACTAGTTAAGAGTTGATATTTACATTTCCAATGTCTTTGTCCGAGATAAAATTACAAATTGTAAAAATGCTTTATTTCTACATAAATCTACTGGTTCATCGATAGGCGCGGTTAAAAAAATCACGTGCGGGGCGGGACAAATAGAGACAGAAGCGGGGCTATTAGCACGGGAATTTGCAGAATCAGGAGCATGTAAATATAAGGAATAACTGTCAGATTTTTTGGATTCATGACGATGATCAATCGATTGGCTTGCATGATAATTTTATGCATAAACGCCTTCGGCGTTTATGCAAATTATCACGCAAGCCACTCGATTGATCACATCATGAATCCAAAAAATAAGACAGTTATTCCTTAAATGAATTGTTCAAGAGAAGCGGTTTTCATAAAAAAGGAAAAAAAAAAGATATTCGTTGGATGATAATATACATGTAACAGACGGCAAAAATACGTCAAATGGAATTTGTTTTTATGCATTATAAAATAACAGTGTAAGAATCTACAACTAAAGTCATTGTGGGTATGCGCTTAATACTACCGTTTTCCCATTTGTAAAATCAACCTCCGTAATGGGACACGTATTTGCCAGAGGGAGTAAACAAGCAATTAGTCTAGTCACTTGGAATGGACTGTTATAAGTGGAACTAAACAAGTTCTTTTATTTAAGGTTCATTATCCCTCAATCCACTCATGTAAAATTTCATCCAATGAATTTTTTTTAAAAAAGAATTCTAAAGTATAATTAAAAATTCATACAATTTCAACATACCTTGCGGGGCTAAATTGGACAGATATTGTTTTATAGCATCAGCTTCAAAGGGAAAACAGGTATTCTCTATTGAGAAGTTGATGACTCGTTTTAATACTCTCCCTCAACAGGGGGGGGGGGGGTATTAAACGAGCCATCAACTTCTCAATAGAGAATAGAAAACAGTATGAGGTATGAAGCGCTGCTTATATTTTCAGAAATGATTTTTATGTCGGATCATGATATGAAGAAATTTTAACACAGAGGATAGAAAGAGTAATGTTTTATTATCACAACATAAATTTAAAAATATGAGATGTATAAGAAAATAATATTTAGTATCATACCTATTAAATTCATATTTGAAAACATAATAAGCGCTTCTTCCTAAGTCAGAATATCGCAATGTTGTATGTAGTTGTTAGAAAAAAAATACATCTGTTAGCAAGAGTTACCTTTCTTGTAAATATTTTTTTTATATAATACTAATAAAAATTCTACATTTGGTACTTGAAACATTAAAACATTTTTAAAATGGTCCTTAAAAAGATAGAACTTATTCAATTTATAAGGCTTTTAATACTGAATTTAAATGTTTTTTGTTAATTATAAAACAATTTGAACAAGTATAGGCAAAGGAAATAGAAGGTAATGTTTTCATCATATGTCAGGTTTGATCGAATTGACTACTCCAAGATCTCGATAATGAAACTCTCATAATGAAAACTATGAGTAGTATTCGTATTTTTTACTTGGAAAGTTATCTCTCTTATCAGAGGTTCGGTCTTCCTTCATTGGCTTTTATCGTTTACAGTCAGTAAAATATCTAAATATGAAACAGATGTGGCAGACTCTTTGGTGTCTTTTATATATTAAATTATGTAATTTTATCACTTATGGACTAAATTTAGAGCACTATTGGGCTTCTGTAGCTCTTATTAATATATGCATGGATTTTGGCGATTAAATATTAGATCTTTTTAAATTCAAAAACAAAACAGAAAAAGATAATTTCTTTCAATCAGGATTCTTATTGTATTCAAGACGTCCTTCTACGATCCTAATAAATACGATGACCATGTACAGGGAGCTTCACATATCGAAGGAATTGTATGAATGAAACACGTTACTACACAGTGAACTATAAATCAGATGTTCAAGCTTATTAATAAGGCTCCGCGGTGTTTTTGTGTTTTGTACCTTTGTCGCTAAATTTAAAAAGAAGAAAGAATAAATAAATGT